TCCATACAGTGATTCTTTTTTGTTTGTTTAAATGATTGTGCCGTATATATACCCGATTACTATTTCGTGTGTATACTTTATGCGATAAAAACAAACTTTACTCCGTGTTATTTGCTTTTACTAACCAATTATCAATAAGAGAGCAAAAACAAATATTGATGCAGAATAATATGAATTCATTTTATGTCGTTAGGTTCACATCATCTGCTCACAACGTATAATATTTTAAAATCAAAGTTATTACATTTGTTGATATATTCATAAATACGATGGTGATTAGGAATGAATTGTGTATCATGATGTAGCGAAGATTCCAATCGAGTTAATAAGACCATAAAATGAATTCATATTATTCTGCATCAATCTTTGTTTTTACTCTCATTAAGATAATAAAGGGATTTATGTGTGTGAAACAGGTTTCAATAGTTCACACACTAAAAAACTACCAGTCAAAACTGATCCAAATACTCAGATTTATATTTAGTGGTGATTGAATTACATGGAATTTCATAAATTGTACTATAAAATAACTAGTATTTCTCACTTTATTTAGATATCCTTAATTTTTCTTTTTCAATCAACACAAATTGAAACCAAATAATCATTTTAGGGAAGTTTATAGATCTTGCATATAAACATTTTATGTTGATGAGTTTACTTGTCAGATATCACGCCTATAGAATTTTCAGTTGAATGAACCTTCAGATTTTATAGAATATTGGAATTTTTTTCAAAAACGAAGATTTATTATGACTAAAATAATGTATTCGAAATCGTGGTTCTTGAGATTACTGCACATTATTTTCATACATTTATTTGGTTTATCTGCAACAATTTTGGTAGTCATTGTACCGACTCTCTCATCAGTTGATCTTTCATGAGCTTTCTTCAATATATGGAATGTTAAGGATCAATGATCGTTTCATCCTCAGTTAGAACATTACTTTTCCCATTTTTATTTCGAACAAGTTCACGATTATCTTTGAAATGGGCTGGTAATAAGTCGTCGAGACTTGATGAATCATGACTCTTCAGAAGTTGAGATCCCCTATGACCTTTCTATCATTAGGGGGATCAGTAGTCATCGATCAAAGAGTATATGACTGTCTTCCGCATCACTAGAACAACAGACTAATTAAATGGTCTACTAAAACGCTCTGCTCAGCGTTCGAAACGCATTTAGAAGTAACTAACTGACGTGCCATCACAAGGAAGAGAGGAATTCTACTTCCATCATCTATCGCAGGTCATTTCGGGAACAAGCTCAAATAGGTATATTATGCCAGTCCCATTATTTCTAAGTAATTATGATCTTACGTCAGTGTTATATGGAAAAATAGGTGAGTAACAACTAACATAACTTTGTGTGGTGCTATTATTTAGCGGTTACACTGTTAGGATATTGTTTTTGAGTCATTTATCTTAGCTTACTGTAATCATCTGTTCGGATCTGTCAATATCCTATCGTCAGCATGTTTAATTATCAATGTTATGTATGGCCTCCTTGTTGTTTAAAACGCTGTAACTTACACTAAGTACACGTTTATATATTCATCTTTGAGGTGATAATTCTATTCGGTTGTTCAAGTTGAATTAGTTGGGTCAGGATTTGAATATGCGACTTAAACCTTGGTAACCGAGTCCTTTTATCACAAAATCCGCATTTCCATTATCTAACATAGACAAATAACTGACCTTATTGCTAAATCGGAAGGTACAAGTCACATTGTTAATGAATTTAACGTAACTTCTTATGGTAAAATCTGACTTCATAAAAGTACATTGTGGTTAAAATAACATCAATTTTTTGTTGTAATTATTTTCATTGCTTATTCTCTTTATAGTCATTTACAATCGTATTTCATTGTTTATTTCCAGACTCGTGAAAATGAAGAATTAACTAAAATATGTGATGAACTATTAAGTAAATACGGTGGAATAACATGATATCATCATGAAAATGTTACAGATATTATTTGTGTATAATGGAAAACAAATGATGAGTTTTCAATTTATCTTATTTTTCAAAACATTTTTTCCTACATACGTAAATCGTCTTCTTCCAGACGACGAAGAAGAAGAAGAAGAAAATGACCATGTAGAATCAGAAGGAGTTATTGATGAAGATATTTACCCATATACATATACATAAAATAGGAAGAAATTCATTAACTGTTATTATTTTTGTCCTCATTTCCACCTCCATTTGAATGTGTTTGTGTGTGTATATTGAAATAAACATTTTCTCTCTTACCTAACGCTTACACCATTTAGTATATATATATATATATATATATATATATATATAGCGAGAGAGAGATGCATCTGTATGTTTTGTGTTGTTGATTGCTTTCGTTTTGTTTGGTTTATTGTAAAGTGCCTAATGCATTTTTTAACTCATTTTAATTCTGTGCTTAAAAGTGGAAACAAAGAAGATTTAATATGATGATACAACACTATCAAAAATCTTAATTTGTAAACTATAGATCTTGATTTCTGTTATTATTGTTGTTTAATCACTGTTCAGTCTTGAATACTTTTGACTGTAATAGTTGCGACACTTGAAAGTACTTTCCTTTTATCATTATATATATATGGACCCATACACACATAACAACTAACTTAGACTGTTATACTTATCTACTCGAGCAGATATATCACTCAAATATAATACATTGCAAATAAAATTATATTAAAATTTTGGTAGTGTTTGTAATATCATAGTCTTGAAATCTTTTGAGTTTAAGAAGAAAGAGACTTCTTTTGCTTTGATTGTTGTTGTTTCAACGCTGTAGTTTGTTCTAGTAAAACTTAAGCATCAAAATATATATGATATCAGTTCCGCCTAAAATGTCCAGTAAGTGTCAATGAACAGCTTAGAGTTTGATTATGTATGCATTATAAATTTGTGATTATAAAATATTCTTTTGGTATTAATTCTTTATTCCAAAATCATTTTTATGGGAACTGATAAGTCTGACTGCGCGCTTAAATCGGTTTTCTAAGCTCTTCTTAGAATCCCGGGCTAATTCTACACGACAACCTGAACACAAGAGAAAAGGCGCGTAATACGTAAAGAACACTTTAGTCTAAAGTTAGTTTATATACAGAAAATTTAGTGTATTTATAGCGTTTCAGATAGCCTTGGACTTCTGAAAAGTTCTGGAATGCTACTAAACATAGTATCGGGATAAGGATCATCCAAGTCAGAAATGTAACACGTGACTCTCCACTTTCTAGATGTTTCTGAGAAATTTCTGTTCAGTGCTGATTTGACAAAATGTTTCCCAGTGTCCCTAGAACTTTTTTTCGATGAATGTTCTGGGTCTCCCCAACGGGAACTATACAAAGTGGAGCATAGTCTATTTAGAACTAATCGTTACTTACTGATGCAACTTGAAGGAAATGGTTATTGGGTTTAGAATAATTTCCAGCTGTAATTTTGTTTATTTTTCCCGATAAAAAGATTAGGTATGAATTCGGAAGAGCTTGTTGCTATTTTAATATATATTTTTTCATAGTTTAAAACATCTTTAGGCTCAGTTGTAATGTGTAATGTTTTGTCAAAATGTTGATACGCTGGTGGTGGTATGGATTTTTGTTACTACTGCGAAATAAACAGCTAAGTACAACTTGTTGTTGATCAAAAACTGGTCAAGATGACTTTAAAACGTACAACGAAATATTTATGATTATATCTGTTAAATGAGTAAATTTGAATGCATTGAACAGGAGGTCATTAACATTAATCAATCAGCAGGTAAATTTATGTATATAGTTTACAAAGGCAATAGATTAACTCCCGTAACTAACAAATTTAACTATATTAGTGAGTTATGTATTTTCCTTCTTCCTAATGTAAATAATCTTAGCGTTTCACTTCGCTTAATGATTAGTGAGTCTGTTAATGAATAGCATTCTTTATATGCAATTTCTCTAGCCCAAAAAAGTCATAAAAAGTTCGTTAGAAGGTTTACATGAACCCGAATACTACATCAGAAAGAGTGTAAAGGTAAAATACCAGTGTTTCTGCTTAAAATGTCTTATTAATGGGAATAACATTCAGTTATACAATCACTAGCGTTGACAATATCGCCAATATGATGAGTCCAACTATGCGGTGCCAAAATAAGCAGGATGGTAACACTTGAAAAGATGTGGACACGCTGTCTTCTTTTAGTAGTCTCTGCTTACACTCACACTGATGAGCTTGAATGAAACAATTATGATTTTTCATAGGAACATTTCTGACTTCTTTCCAGAACACTAGGTACCTAAGTGTAGTAATGGTAGTAGTTCACCTTAGTGACCAGTTATAAAGACCAAACTGAGTTGAAGGACACTTGAGAAGATCTTTCACCGTCCGAGATCAGGTAACAGTTATAGTCTGTAACTAGGCTCAGGCAACTGTCTAGTTGTAGCAAGCACCAAGATAAAGTAGGAGGAGGGTGATTGTCTGACATAGTAACCTCCAAAATCGGCTGAAAGATTGATGTGAAAAGACACTCGCCGTCAACATTTTTGGGAAAGGTTCGATAGGAGATTACCACTCATTTTGTAGCACATTTTGAAAGTATAATCATCCTTTAATGAGAATATGCGTTTGTCTCTATCGTAGATACTATCAGGAACCTAGTAAATCTGAACAACACACCCCATAAAAATAACATAAATCTGGCGAAAGCCAAATCTGTTCATTAATATTACAGTATATGATATTACTTTACAATATCATTGATATAGCTGTTCTAAATACAGTGGTAAAACACACTAACAGGTAATATCTATGGTAAATTCAATGAGCACACAAGTGAAATATAATAAGACTCATTTACAGAAAACTTCGAACTAAAGAACATTTAGATAGTTATGCTTACTTTAATCTGAAATAGCATCGTCAAAAAAAAGTTTGTTTTTAAAATTTACTAAATAATCATGAATAAAAACTACAAATTCTAAAATAAAATGATAATCTTGGTATATTGTTAGTGTATGTAACATTAGCTTTTATTAAATTTTAATGTTAATCGTTTAATTCGTTCATTCAACCGATATACTGTCTCTTCATCACTACTTTGATTGGCTTTCGATTCATCTAACTGTTGGTTAATTTCATTTTTGGGAGAATTAATTGATTGATTTTCTATCTGTGACCATGGCCTACGTTCACGTTCAAATTCATTGTTAATTATTTGAAATTTAGTATTCATACGATGTCCAACTGATTGACGCGATCTTATTCTAATATTATTGTGCTTTTCATTTGTGTTTGTCGATAAGTGCTAAGTTAAAATGAGAAAAATTAATATGAAGAAATTGAGTATTATTTTAAACTTTTGGATAGTCGTGAATGAACTACATATATTCACCGTCTTATATAATCCGGTGTCTAGGAATTTCCACATATAATATATGTAAAATCCTTCATTTAATTGTCTAGAAAGATATATAGTGTTGACATCCAACAGATAGCTAGCTAATTAAGATGAAAAGGTTTGCTTTCAGTACATATATTAATATTATTATTTCCATTTGAACTTACGACGATAATAGTCTTTAGTTTGACTAAACATTGTTCGGTTAGTTCAGTATACTATTTTACTGATGTTCGAGCGATTTAACAATCTCCTCTATAGCTTGAACAATTTGAAATTCACGAGTTTTACTACTCACACTCATTGAGGTTTAGGGATTTGTCAGTCAAAAATTGTTGGAAGAAATTTCAAAAAGAAAGTAAACTAACTAGTAAATATCTTTTGCTGAATTCAAACTCAAATATATATTTTGCTTGAACTATATTGGTAGTTCACCTCAATCAATAACTGTAAACAGATTCATATTATACTCAGCTTTGATCAACATATATTTTGGCGTGGAATTCGGTGACACTGTCCGGCTGCCTGGACAATAAAAGACAATGTTACCGAATTATTAATTACGCACGTTACCGTTCGTGGAGAACATTCTACTGACCAGGGTTCTCCATCGAACTATGTCCTAGGCAATCATCTCTAGTCGGCACTCATTTTTTTAATGTCTGCTTCCAATTCCTAGGGCGTGACGTGTTCTTTGGTCTTCCTCTTTTTTTGTTTCCTTTCAGGATTCCATGTTAGGGCTTGCCTTATGATTCAGATGGTTAATTTTCGCAATATATGTCCTATCCACTTCCAACGTTTCTGCCTAATCTCCTCTTCAGATGGAAGCTGGTTTTTTTTCTCCCACAGTAAGCTATCGCTGACGCTATCCATTCAGCGGATATTGAGTACCTTGTGTAGATAATTATTTACAAATGTATTTTTTGATGATGATTGAAGTAGTTCTCCAAGTTTCATCTGTGTACAGTAGAACTGTCTCGACGTTCGCACTGAAGATTGTGACTGATGTTGGCTTGCAGAAAGTTGTTTTGAGTTCCATACGTTCTTCAACTGTAGTAATCCTATACATTCTTTGCCATTCCTTACCTTTAAGCCTGCATCTGATACTCCTTGTTCATCGATGATGCTGTCCAGTTATGTAAACGTTTCTACCTGTTCCAGAATTTCTCTATCAAGTGTGATTGGTTTGGTGTCCTTCGTGTTGTATTTGAGGATCTCGCTTTTTCCATTGTGTATGTTGAGGTTGACTGATGCGGATGCTACTGCTACACCGAATCATTAAGAAGGTACTTAATCACTGAATTATTATTTTATAACTGTAAACTATGCTGTTTCAAAATACTAAGTGTAAAATTTTGAATCCGTATAACATGTTCTATTCTGTCAATGAATTAAAGGTGATCTAAATATTAACATAGATACTGTGGTGTTAATCACGTACTTCAAACACTGACGTAGAATGTGAAATAGTAGGTTTTGAGACCATATTCAATTCATCTGTGTTACTTTTGTCCTTACTCAGTTTATTATTTTCTTTGGTGAATTTAGATGATGAATTTGAAGAGTTTGAAAAATTAAGTTTATTTGCATTAGAACGACTTCTTGATCGATTGTTTGCTACTCTAGGATTTGATATATTGTTAGAAATTAGATTCATCATTGTATTATGATCATCATGGCTTGATTTTGGTTTATCTTCTGCTATTCGACTGTTTTTATGATTATATTTTGTATCTGGAAAAGATAAAGAACGGAAGAACATTCAAATCAACTGAATATTTGTGATTGGTAATTGAAATACAATTATTAGCAGTTTTCATCAACATAGAGCGTAGCTCAAATGTGATTTGACCCAGGCTTTCATACCACAATAGTACAATTACATGAAAGTAATAAAATGTGTAGCAAAGGAATTTAAAAAGCTTAATAGTGGTGGTAATGAAAACGACTAAACATTGAGAATATGGTATGAAAACGGTTGAAGTGCAGGACCTCAAGATCGAGAGGAGGATGAATAATGAATAAATCTACACCATTGTGGCTCATTCTAAGCCATGTCAACCACAGTCCACACGTAGCTTTGATCATCATGCGGACCTTGACCAGGTATTTTGTACTTGTCAACATGGATTAGGCCAACGGTTAGCGAATTAATGAACTGATGTCATATCTTGGTTTAGTCACCTTTGGTCTTCCAGACTACTTCTACAAACCATCTGTCTAACTATATCGTGGTCATGTATAGGTAATATGCTTCCCAACTACCTCAGCTGGTTTCAAATCTTCACCTAGTGCCTTATTCCTAATGTCAAAATTTTTCAGCCTGTCGTTCCAGGATACATGAGCAGTACCTCAAAGACACCAAGGAAATTTTGTTGAATAATCTTCCGTTTAGCACATTAAAGTGAATTTAAATCAGCCAATTCTAGTAATAGTAAAGCGTATAACATTACATACCTAGTTATTACTATCAGTACATTTTATGCACTGTTTCTACGAAAATTGAAATGAATCGAATTATCAGAAAGGGGTTTTGTGGATATTATAGTAGTTGAGTTCATGAGTCAATAGAAGCTAGACCACCATGGGATACCTGGAAGCACTGAACGGCCGTTTCGTTCTAATGTGGGATTCCTCAGCAATGCGCATCCGCCTCTCAGGATTCGAACCCAGGACCCTCGGTCTAGCACGCAAACGCCTAGACTTCAGACCACTGAACCGGCTTCCAGCGGTGTTAATGTCTAACTTCAACCAACCCACGAAATTGAGCCACCGTCGAATTGTTTGATAGGCACTTCCATATAATACAAGAGCTATTTGAAATCACTGAATTCTGAATTATATTTTCACTGTCATTTTAAAACGATACTATCATATAATTTCATTCATTATATTTGTTGTTACTTTCAGATGAAAACTAGAACACTTTCTAATAATATATGTGATAATATATTGTAAAAAATGTATACAAATATAGTCTTTGTTTAACATTAACTCTGTTAGCCATTTATTCTGATGTAGTAACGTGTTTGAAGAAATTCTATCAATATCTGTAAGCATATACGTAACTTTTGAAAAACGTTATTTTAACATGGCTGAATATTCATAATAATGAGTAACATCAACCGCATTTGATGACAAATATTTTACATTTCCTCAGAGAGAAAATAATCAATAGATAGATACTTTTTGACTATGATTAACCTTTAATAGCTTTATAATTTCGAAAAGGTGAATCAATCGGATGTTTAAATGTACTTAAGTTAACTCCGCCTGGAATCCCTCCGGGGGCTACTGCCGGTCCCAAGCCCGGATAAAGGAGGAGGGTTGGGCATGGGGTTAGCGCCCCCATCCCGTAGAAAACTAACTCGCTAAAAAACGCTAACCAGAAAAAATTATTCAAATCTTTTAAACTCTACCCTGGGAGTCAAAAGGTCTTCATTTAGAAGAATTATGACGCCTCATGATGAAAGCCGAATTCCTTCGGAAGTTACGAGGCCGACGCCCCTTCTGACAACCAGAGCGACCATTTATTTGGGTACATGGAATGTTCGTACAATGTGGGACACCGGAAGAGCCTTCCAAATTGCTGCAGAAATGAGAAGACACAACCTAGAGGTAGTTGGGATCAGTGAAACAAATTGGACGCAAGTTGGACAACAACGACTAACTACAGGAGAGCTCCTGTAATAATCCGGCCATGAAGAAGAAAATGCAAAACATACACAAGGAGTTGCATTGATGCTGTCCAAACAAGCACAAAATGCGCTTATAGGATGGGAATCTCATGGGTCAAGGATCATCAAAGCCTCCTTCAAAACAAAGAAAGAGGGCATTTCAATGAACATCATCCAATGTTATGCGCCTACCAACGATTACAATGAAGACGCTAAAGATCAATTCTACAATAGGCTGCAGTCAATCGTCGAGAAGTGCCCAACAAAGGACCTGACCATTCTGATGGGAGATTTCAATGCCAAGGTTGGAACAGACAACACTGGATATGAAGACATCATGGGACGACACGGACTGGGAGAAAGAAACGAAAATGGTGAGAGATTCGCAAACCTATGTGCCTTCAATAAGCTGGTCATAGGCGGCACCGTATTCCCACATAAACGCATACACAAAACAACATGGACTTCACCGGATCACTCTACACAAAACCAAATCGACCATATTTGCATCAACAAAACGTTCGGGAGGACTATAGAGGACGTGAGAACCAAGAGAGGAGCTGATATAGCATCAGATCATCGCTTACTGGTCGCCAAGATGAAATTGAAACTCAGGAAGCACTGGACAACGGGGCGGACAATATCACAAAAGTTCAATACGGCCTTTCTTCAGGATACTGACAAACTCAACAAATTCAAGATAGACCTCAACAACAAGTTCCAGGCCTTTCATGATCTACTCAATGGAGAAGTAACTACTGTGGAGAGCAACTGGAAGGGGATCAAAGAGGCAATCACTTCAACATGTCATGAGGTCCTGGGTCACAAGAAGAACCATCACATGGAATGGATCACTGTTGATACACTGGATAAGATTCAAGAAAGAAGAAACAAGAAGGCAGCAATCAATACCAGCCGAACAAGAGCAGAAAAAGCCAAGGCACAAGCTGAATACACGGAAATAAACAAACAAGTGAAGAGGAGCATCAAAACCGACAAACGTAAATATGTGGAAGATTTAGCGACGACGGCGGAAAAGGCTGCAAGAGAAGGAAACATGAGACAACCGTATGACACGACAAAGAAACTCTCTGGAAATCGCCGCAAAGCAGATCGACCAGTGAAAAGCAAGGAAGGTAAGGTAATCACCACCATTGAAGAACAACGAAACAGGTGGGTAGAACACTTCAAAGAACTCTTGAATCGACCAGTGCCACTGAACCCACCCAACATCGAAGCAGCACCCACGGACCTCCCAATCTATGTTGGCCCACCAACAATTGAAGAAATCAGCATGGCCATCAGACAAACCAAGAGTGGCAAAGCAGCAGGACCAGACAACATTCCAGCAGGGGCACTGAAAGCAGGCGTGGCTGTAACTGCAAGAATACTCCACATTCTCTTCAATAAGATTTGGGATGAGGAACAAGTACCAAAAGACTGGAAAGAAGGACTTCTGACCAGAATACCGAAGAAAGGCGATCTCAGCAAGTGTGATAACTACAGAGGCATCACTCTTCTCTCAATACCGGCAAAAGTCTTCAACAAGGTATTGTTAAACAGGATGAAGGACTGCGTAGACGCCCAACTTCGTGACCAACAGGCAGGATTCCGTAAGGATAGATCGTGTACAGACCAAATCGCAACACTACGGATCACTGTGGAACAATCAATTGAATGGAATTCATCACTCTACATCAACTTCATTGACTACGAAAAGGCATTTGACAGCGTGGACAGAACAACACTATGGAAACTTCTTCGACACTACGGCGTGCCTCAGAAGATAGTCAATATCATACGGAATTCATATGATGGATCACACTGCAAAATCGTGCATTGAGGACAGTTGACAAAGTCGTTCAAAGTGAAGACCGGCGTTAGGCAAGGTTGCTTACTCTCACCCTTTCTCTTTCTCCTGGTGATCGACTGGATCATGAAGACATCAACGTCTGAAGGGAAGCGCGGGATACAATGGACATCTAGGATGCAGTTGGATGATCTAGACTTCGCAGATAATCTGGCCCTTCTATCCCAAACGCAACAACAAATGCAGGAGAGGACAAACAGTGTGGTAGCAGCCTCAGCAGCAATAGGTCTCAATAAACACAAAGGGAAAAGCAAGAATCTCCGATACAACACAGCATGCACCAATCCAATCAAAATTGACGGAGACGATTTGGAAAATGTAAAAGCCTTTACATATCTGGGCAGCATCATTGATGAACAGGGTGGATCTGATGCAGATGTGAAGGCGCGGATCGGCAAAGCAAGAGCAGCATATTTACAACTGAAGAACTGTAGTGACTCACGTTTATCACGAGAACACGACTGGTTTAATAAAAACAATTATTATTATAACCAACTGTACCAGTGTTTGTTTTAACGTGCTTTTGTTTGACTGTGCTAATGACAGCTATTTTGTGCTTCCATTCTTTTACTCACACTTTGATTGTAACTTCGCGCGGATTCGGTTACGTTCTGTAACCAAACTTGTATCCTGGCACGATCTCGGTATCCTTTCGATGCCACGAGATCGCCAGCAAATAAACATCGACTTGATCCATTAATTGCCCTCTGATATTCGGCTTCTCGGGGATTTTATGGAGTCATTTGGAACGAGCTTCTTACGCCTTCTGATTCGCTTGGCACGTGTTTCTTGGTAGCGGCGTTCATAGTTAATCTCAACTCGACGCCACGCTACAATTGGTGAGCCCGATGTGATTACAGAACATCTGGAACTCAGAGCAACGGTCAACCAACACCAAGGTCAGGATTTTCAATACAAATTTCAAGACAGTTCTACTGTATGGGGCAGAAACCTGGAGAACTACAAAAGCCATCATCCAGGAAATACAGGGGTTTATTAACAGTTGTCTACGCAAAATACTTCAAATCCATTGGCCGGACACTATTAGCAACAACGTACTGTGGGAGAGAACAAACCAGATCCCAGTGGAGGAAGAAATCAGGAAGAAGCGCTGGAAGTGGATAGGACACACATTGAGGAAAGCACCCAACTGCGTCACAAGACAAGCCCTCACATGGAATCCTCATGACCGAAGGAAAAGAGGAAGACCAAAGAACACACTACGCCGAGAAATGGAAACAGACATAAGAAAAATGAACAAGAATTGGATGGAACTTGTTGATGCCCGTTCGCATGCTAAGCGAGCGAGAGCCATAACAAAGCAATTTAGATACGTATGGAAGATGGCTGGGAAGCCAACTCCATTTTAGTCAAGCATTACTCAATATTTATAGTCAGACAAATTAAAGGTACAGACATGTGATTAATGAAATAAGAAGTGCACACATATATACGCTCATATAAAAACAGTCTAGTTGATAAGCGAATAAATGACAAGGTCAAAATATGGCTCAAGTAAAATGAATAAAATAGGATGTCCGGAAGTTAGAATAAGGTATATGGGCTTGGCATGATAACTGACACTACAAACTAGAAAAGAAGGCCCAGGACAGAGTGGGTTGGAGAATGCTGGTCAGCGGCCTATGCTCCATTGGGAGTAACAGGCGTAAGTAAGTAAGTTAACTCATGATGAAGTATCATCATCAGCTGAGTTAAATGATTGTAGATAACACTACAACAGTTGATATCCATAATTTTCTGTTTGATAACACAAATCATTAAGAATGATAATTCATTGAAAAGACCTCTTCATTATTGTGAATTGATTTGCTGTACCCATATGTTTATAAAACCTTTTGGTGTAATCACGTCATTTATTTTCCTCATAAATTTTATAATGTTAATAATTAAATATTCATGTATTTTCTCCACACACAAATCAAATATCTGCAATTTATTGTAGTAACTTATATGTTTAGCTGAATTTATTGCTGTCGTTCACATTTTTTAAAATATAGTTTCTTGCCAAAGTTTATAAAGAGCTTATTAAATCGATGAAGTATCGGCAATATCATTTCAAGCATTAATCTCTAATCATGGTTGTTCAATAGACAATATTAGTTTATATTTAAGCTGTTATTGCATCATGTTTAACTGAATATAAGCTCAAGTGAAATTTCGTGCAATCAAGTCGTAGTTATGTCCAGTCAGCAACAACGTACAACCAGACACATATGTGCATCGATCCAAGTTGCCATGACTCATTACCACAACAAGGTGAACACCGGATTCATAGAAGTGGTTAACTCAGTGGTTGTAATATATAAAAGAAAGATTGCATATAAGGATATAGTACAGGAAGAAAGAATTAGTTCGTAGAAGGAAAGGTATAAAGTATTTTTAATCCCACTGTTTAAGAGCAGACAAAGCTTGTATACACCGACGACATTGTGATCGATTCTGAACCATGTCACCAAGAGTCTCCAACTATTGGATACGATAGTCACGCGGACCCCAACCAAGTAGTCTGCATCTACCAACATGGTTCAGACCAGAAGTTAGTGTCTTCAAGCACTGATGCCACGTTTTAGTTTGACCACTCCATTGCTCCATAGTTATATGAAATGAGTTCAAATTTATAAATTATTTTCCATCATGTAGTTTTATAGTTTCATTAATGATTTTACATTGTTCCAATAAGGCATAAAATGAACTATTTAAATATGCTGACAATTATAAAATGAAAATAATTATATATTTTAATTGTTTTTAATCCAAAAAAATAATATCTTACTTGCTTGATTCAATGTATCATTTTTATTTAATCTTTCCAATCTCTCTTTATTCATTTGTTCAAATTCTTTTATTTCCTAAATTGAAATAAATCAGAATTAAATAATTTAGAAGTTTAGTTAATATTATCAGTGGTTCCATGTGTTTCCATGGTGGTTTAGCTTTAATCGACTCATGAATTCTACTATTAAGTTAGTATTACTTAGTTTAATTTTAATTTTATGATGAGCAGTAAATTGATTTAACTACTCAAATTATAATTAAGATGATTAGTTGTTATGACCTTGAATCGCTTTTACCCCGTGATACTTGTTATGACTTCACCTTGATCTGTCTAGACTAAACTATGACATTGACGCGATAAGCTGAGTAGCTTAACCTTGAGTCTAATACGCGTGAGTTCGGGATGGGGTAGAGAGACAACTATTCTAAATCCTGATTGGTTGGCAAGCACGCAAGTGAAAGAAGACAAGACAGTTGGAACACTGAACTCTGGATTCTCTGAATTCGAATTAGCACAAAAATGTACATAAATAAATAAGTGAATATCTTGACCACGACGTACGATAATTTGGAAAAATACAGTTGTGCCCGAAACAGGGAATTAGGGTAGAAAATACAGTGCAAAATATTATGTTTAAATTACAATATTTTTGGAACAAAAAAGGGTATGCTAGTGAATGATACATAGAACGAAAGCTCGTGTTATGTAGAATAAGATAGGGACAAAAATAAATATAAGTGTTTTACAGGTTTTGAATAAAATGCAATAACGTCCCAAGAAAATAGCTTTCGTAATTGTCTGGGCTTCTTAATTCCCCGTTCATAACATTAGTTTAATTTAAAAATGTATTTTTTGTAGAAATATTGCAAACCAGAATAATATGGACATTTATACCATTCTAGCTTAGTATTCTATACCAGTTTATATTAACGATTAAGTGTTTAATGCTAATTAGTTTCAAGCTAGAACGATACATTTGCCTAAAGCGTTGGAATCAATAATTAGTAATGTTGTAGTTGGAGGTAGTCAGCAGAAAACCCTGGATTTAGGTTTCATGCTACTTGGTACTCGTCAGCAAGGTGTACCTGTATTATTCTTGAGGGAAGTAATGCTCCCTGACAGATTCGACCCCGTGTCATCCAGCGACCAATGTCATGTATGTCAGGTCCTTCTTACTGCAGATCGTATCCTATCCTTGCTGACGAGTGCCAGGTAGCACGAGACTTAGGTCCAATATTTCCTGTTGACTACCTCCAACCATTATCTTGTCTCAACATAGTGCACGCAATGTCGAGTCACCTAGGCTGGTGACCGCATTTCAACTTGTTCGATAGGACTCGATCTGCACTGAGAAGGACCTGACATACATGACAGTGATCATCACCTAGTACTCAATCAATTGCAAATTAATGACCTATTATCTGATAACTCAAATAAACGTAAATTCAATCGAGTTTAAGGCCTTCTGACTAAAAACATTCCAAGACAAATTTAGTTGAACAAATAAATGAATAATTACGCTCCCCAAATATACCAAACGACATAATCTGGTTTTAATCAAACTTGGCTAGACTATTAGTTATATTAAAAGTGTGATTAACATAAATCCGTCAATATTCAAAACATGACAATATAGTATTAGTCATCATGCAGTAAAAATATAATATCCCTTAATTATTCAGTTCACTTCATTTTTTCTCGTTTAGAAACAATTATATTTCCATTTTCTCATGTTAACCTATTTGTATTTGAGTTAAAATATATGCGGAAATTTCTGTCAAGATGTTTTTTGTCCAGAAGCTTATCTGTATTTAGTCATTGAAGAATTTGTAAAATAGTGACGTACTTGCTCTGTGGACTTCATTTTCTCAAAAAATAAACTGAATGTTTGTAGGCACTCTGTAATTCTAAATTGTGTTGGACATTCACAGAAATATTGTGCACACTTTATTTCTAATTCTTGAAGTTTTTCCACTTGTTTTTGTACATCATTTAGTTCTTTATTTGATTGCTGCGAAAAAATATGTATGATGATATTTTTTAAAAATTATATTATACTACTCAATTAACATGCAAGTAGTCAACATTTTCTTGAAATAAAACAAGAAAAATAAAATCTACAGATCTAGTTTTTCTCACTTTATTTAAAATTTATTTAAATTTATCCAGGGATCAAGATGTATTCAATTAAAATTTATCGTAAACATGGATTTTGAACTGAATTTTTAAGGTCAAATAACTTAAATTGCATTAGGAACCTGTAATCCGTATGATGGATTTCACAGCAAACTTGAAAACGTGTACGAAACTGAAGTCTGTTTAGAGTTTAGATGAAAGACAAAAGTTTATATCACTAACAACCTGAAGCAGTAATGTCTACTAGTGGTCAGTGAATATTTTTTCATAGAGAATAATGGATTATATTCAGCCTACCCAGAACTTGTTTACCATTTGTCATGATATGACAAAACGCTCATGAGCGTAAATATTCAGAATCGTCTATTAATTATTGTTAGAAAATTTCTTCACACTTTCTTCTCATGGTTTAGTTTTCCGTAACATTTGTTTTATGTGAATGATTGTTACTAGCAATAAATCTGAATCTCAACTGCATATCTTAGCGCATCACATGGCTTTTGTCATTAACTCTCGAAGCTAAAACCGCTGAATGATATTTTGATAACATGGCTGAGTCCATACCGCTAACCAAAACTTAATTCTTCTATTGATCATCTCTATTCATTCAATATCAACTGCGATTTTTGTCTCATAATCCCGATAATGTGAACTAATTTATAACGAATTGGCTAACAATTAGCTGGCTATTGATTTGCGCTAATATTATAATTCGAATCACAGCTATAAAGCGAGAAATTTTAAATCTTTCTATTAACTCTAATGAATGAAAAGATATTCGCGACTTACCTCGATAAATTCACAAATTTTTGATTGTTTTCCAAATGTTTCTGGATCAAATTGTTGAGTCATATTTTGTAATCTACTTCTGAATCGGTTAATTTCTTTTATAATTAAGTCAAGTGATACACTGAAAATATTGGTTTAATAAAACTTAATAAAAATGGTAATATATTGTGAGAAAAAATAAGATATATTAATCATTATCTATTTAATAGTTTAGAGTTACAGATGATATTAAAATCCAAAACGTTTGTTTTGTACTATTTAAAATGTACGTTTTAGTATATTTGTGTTTTTCCTTACAATTCAAGAACATATGGAACTCAAAACAACTGTCAACAAATATCAAAGTCACAATCTTCAATACGAATGTCAAGACAGTCCTACTGTACGGAGATGAAACGTGGAGAACTACCAAAACCAACGACAAAAATTTACAAATGTTTATAAATAGCTGTCTACGCATAATACTCAATGCCTATTGGCTGGATACCATCAGCAACAGCTTACTGTGGGAGAGGATAAACCAGCTTCTAACTAAAGAGAAAATTAGGTAGTGACAGTGGAAGTGGATGGTACATATATTGAGAAAATTATCAAACTACATCACGAGATAAGCGATAACTTGGAATCCTGAAAGGAAGCGGAAAAGAGGAAGGCCGAAAACACACTACTTTGGGAAACGAAAGCAGATATGAAAAGTGTGAACAACAACAGGAAAAAACTGGAAAGGATTGCCTAGGACAGGGTTGGATGGAGAGTGCTGGTGGGCGGCCTATGCTCCTCTATAAAGGATAACAGGCGTAAGTAAGTAAGTGTTTTTCCTGTTTACTTTTTTATTCAAAATGGCAGTGATCTGTTTTTCTTGTAATGGACATTTTCAATTAGTTAGCTATTGGCTCATTATTTTTAAAAGTTGATTAGGTCCCCTTAAAAAATATTAGCACTGTTTCGGAGCCCCATACTGCGATGAAACATCTGTCTAATGTTCCTTGGTCTGAAGTAAAACTCTAAATGAGATTAATCTGTGACAAATATAATGTATATCTAGGTGACTATTTGACCATACTACTTATTCTTTCTATTTGTAATCTCTATTTTAATGTATTGAAGATTTTTAAAAGTTTTTCAGTTATTTTTTAACTTATACGACCTTTTTCATGAAACATTCATTAGACAAATATAATGTTGTACATTATTTTCTTTGGCTCATTTAAGCTTATAAACGAGGAATTTGAAATGTTAACAAAAAATTTTAGAAATAACATCTGTATAACTTACTCTGATGCTTCCTTTAAATATGGTATTGTTTCGGTAATTCTTAACATTTGTGGATTATTTGTCGTAAACTCCTTTTAATTAAGTAAAAATAAAAAAAACAGATAAAATCTGTAATAGGAAATCACAAATTTCAGTAAAAGTGCTATTAGGTAATTAAATTAAGTTGTATTTTATGCAATATCATTTTCCTGTTTTCTAAGTGTAAAGTCTGTTCCTTTCCCAAAGTATAGTTAGGTTGGTTGATTTTAGGGATATTCTAATACCACTTGAAAATCATTTACATTACGGACTAACGTTAGTTGAAAAACTATGGGGAATTGGTCTCATTGATTTATCCTAGTGCAGGAATACTTGTATATGACCTAAAAGGATTCAGAAACAGGGACCTTTAACTATGATGGAAGGTAGTATAGGATTTAGCTTTGAGTTGGAATCTATTGATCACGTTTTCAGCTTATCTGTAAGATTTGAATATCCTCGATCAGAACCTGTGAAGAGTGATGAAAGTGTATTTCTGAGAATTTAGAATCATTGATCAAAATAATCTAGTTCTCCCTGGTTTTCAGTGGTTGTACAGCTGATGTTAGTAAGGAATGGAAACTATGTTTTTATGAATAGTTAATTTCCAGGTGATTAAAATAATCTCTATCTTTATTCAAGTTGTTGACGCCATTTCATATGAACTGTGTATCTCCGAATTTTTTAAAAGCTTCCAATTTATCAAAGTACTTAAATTTTCAACCAGGATTATTAGGGAATATTTCAGTTAACAGAAGGATGAAGATATGCTAAAGATACTTGATCTAACATACAGTTGAATAATCGTTTATTAAAATCAACTGTCAGATAGTCGTGTACATTAGATATACCATGTCAATAAATCAAATACTTAAGCAACACTGATCAACATGGAACGTATGAGTGTTTTATTAGTTGCTACTGAGATACTGAATTGTATACAGAAATATACATATTTAAAATCTGAAAATCTAGAACACAAGATCAAACAAAAGAGCTCTCGTCAATGTCTTGTAAGTCAGTTTAGTAAAAATGTATTTAATTCTGGAAAAATTTCATATATCAGTCCAACTCTTACTAGTCTCAATTGAGAACTGTAAACATGGTATTAAAAATGTGTGATTTTATCCATACAATAACAAAAAAAATGTAAGCAAGAATAGATATTATGGAATTAAATATAATTTATAAATTAGTAACCTTATGCGATTCACTAAATGAACATCAGTATTCAATAGTGAGTCATTCATTAAATGTATTACCTGAACAAGGAAATGTAATAGAGTGAATTTTGAATCATTTGATCGAACTTCAGAAAGTTTTAGTAAACTGGAAAGTTTGAAGCCAAATGCTGATCCGAGATTGTTACCCTTTAAGAATAAAATTTAAATGATATACATAGAAATTTCTTAAGTATAATAATGGTCGAAAATTAAAACTATTCCTTAAGTCCATTAATCTTATTTCTTACTCTCAGGTAGTTGGGGTTAACGATATGTTATTAGTAACTTAATGGAGATTTAGTGTCATTTAATAGCATTATGGTGATCCTGTGTATATGAATATGAAAAATGTGATATTTGAGATATAGAAGAGTAGGATAAAAATATTTTTATGTATGTTAATGGTGTGAAATGTGAACAGAATTAAATGTGATTTAAACAATGAAATTTAGATCAATGGTCCATGTTTTATGGATTGTTAAGCCATCGTTTCTGTGAAGTGTAGTAGGATTTAACAATATGAGACAATTTAACAGTTTCATTTAAGGTGTAAACTTATTCAATTTAATATAGAATATAAGTCATCTTATCATTAATAATTTTATTTTATATTACAAACAATCTTAGATTCATATGCTATAATGATGTATTTCATTTGCCTTGAAACTGGTTACTTTGTGAATAAATAATTGTAGAATCTGAAGTGAATTGATGAAAAGAATATTCTATATTTATATATCAATGTTTTATGAATGAAACATTTCAGCCCCTCACCTTTCTTTATTATAGTAGGAATAACTTTTTGAGTTATTTTCATATGATTAACATCGATTTGATGGTTGTGAGAAATAGCATGTTCCAATATTTTCAGGTTCTACAGAATAATTTCGAGGTAATTTTATGTAACTTAGATGTTCTTTAGTAGAAGTTATGATGTCGGAAAATAACAGTTCTATATAGTAAACATTACAATCTACACATCCTAATTTTGTGTAGGGTTGATAGATATTTTTATTCGACTAGGAGTATTTCGAAGTGTTTATTATTTTATAGAAAGAGTTAATTCTGTGTGACTTGACTTATTGTAGTTCTTCTATTGTATGTACGCTGACGATATAGTAGAACTTCAGTATCAACACATGATTATTTCTATTATTATTAATCTATGCACTCTGTGATTTCTAAGTTAAATCGTGATAATGTTACATAAATAGGTCATCATTGTTATAACACAAGAGATTTTGGAAAGATTCGCAAAACAATTCATCATTGTTGAAATTCAATTGTCATTTGTTCTCATTAGTGAAAGTCAACAAATATTTCATCAAGTAAAATCATAATGACATTTATGTGGAGAAACGTTCAAAAATATCACGTATTTCGACAAAGAGAACGATGCCAATAGCCATGAACACCATACATTTATGTTCTTTAAAGAATCAACATTGAATCAACAAGTAAAACATTATAGCTTACGTCTTAATATACTTAAATGTATAAACGTTTTAAAGAGTTTTGAGTATTTTGGTCAGAAATTACCATTTTATTCTTTGTCTTATCTGTGATGGCCTGTATTATAAACATAGTGAAAGATTCTAGCACTCTGAAGAGTATAACCTTAGCCGAAGCTAACAATAATTAATAAAGTTGAATGCACTGAAAATGTTAAGTGAGCATAAGTAAGAAATCACCAATGCATTTAATTACTTTTGTCATGCAGTTAATAGCATTCTTTCAATTTGAAAGCTTTATTTTCCTAGAAATACACAGTTGTATTCAAGTAACAAATAAGTAATTAGTGGTATTTGATTCTGTAGTTAGCTAGTTATTTGAATGTTTCACTGCTCTATCTTTAATAAAACTTATAGGCTTTTTCTGTACAGCACCCAGACTTGTTAGTAGATGTTTTAGATATACACTTATCGTTACAAAATTTCAGTAGAACCAAATAAATGAGAAAAATCAAAAAAGAAACAATGAAATACTCTTACCTCATTCATATAATTGCCGATTTCTAAGACAGTTTGAAGTAATTCACAAATTAATGGAGATGTTAGTATTTCTGAAAAAAAAATAAGTGAAAATCAATATGTAATTTAATATTGGATTTGTCATTTGTATATTGTTCACAAATTGCTTATTGTTTGTTGACATCGTTTTATATTTGGTTGAATTTTCAACTAATCAACTGCTATTGAATACTTACTTAAGATGAGGAAGCAAACAGTTAGTATTGGGAGCTTTAATCTCTAATACAGCAATGTTATTGCATATCAAACGTCTAATATAGTCGAAGTAGGTGTTTTACGAAAGCCTAATCTGTAGATCTTATTCGTTATGGACTAGCCTTAGCTGAAGTACCATTGGAAACTCTGGAATAGTGAACAGCTATTTCACCTTATTGGGGAAATTCTCAGCAGTGTGCACTTAAAATCTTGCCAGAAATCAAACTCAGGATATTCAAACCTCTGTAAGTGCAGTTAGACTTTGGACTGGTAGGTTGATTTTTGTGTGTACATTACTTCAAAGTCCCATATTATAATGGTACGACTGCACAGTGCTCCCTGGTCTTCAGTAGTGATCCAACTGATCTAAAAAATTCATGATAATATAAAGTTATCCTTTAAGTTTGATAATACGCCCAAAATCTGCTCAGCTAAATCTACATTAGTACATTATACGCCCATATACTTTTAAAGTAGCTACAAATGTTTATTAAACTTAATTTTTGTCATAGAAACTTATAACTACTTTTAATTCACAATGATAATTGTGACCTGATTTGAGCGACTATAACATTTCATTTGTCCTGGATTTTATTAATTCTTGAAGTACCTTGTAGTTCTAATCTTTTTATTAAAAAAATGTACCAAACTAGTGGTCATTTGTGATTCAATAAAATTACTTGACATAGTGGTATTGCGGTGTATGCTTGTTATAACTCTCTCTTCTTTCTCACGGTTAAATGACCCAGCTATTCCTATTGCTTAGTATTCTCGAACACCGATTCACTCGACAAGTCCCCAAATCAGAACACGGTTGAACAGGAAAAAGATTATATTCCAAATAGCAAGTCAGAAGCGCAATAGGGGAAAACGTCGGTATATTTATAGTTTTTACATAAGAAGATTCCAGAGTATTCTCCGACTATCGACTAGTGCTGATTGGATAAGAATCAGCCAATCAGCGTGCACCAAAACAATCATGCATTGAGCATGCTTTAATCTAGTCTATGTCCCGCTAACAATGCTACTTATGATTTCCAACTTAAGTAGTATGTAACACCAATCAGAAGTGGAATGCTTGTCAGCAGAAGGTTAAGAAGATCGAATTGAGGAAAATAGAAAGGAATTTTGATTTGTAAGAATCATACAGAATGTAAAGGACAATTGATGGGAGATGTTCAAATGAAGTATTTAATATATGGTTCTCATATTTTACGAACATATTCTATGATTTTTGTATTAAACAATAAATTGGTCTTCTCGTCCACAACAGAAGTATCATTATTTGTTCGAAAAAACACGTTCCATGCATCAGACAAGGTGTCATAAACCTTTGCTTCCTTACATTACATTGTAAGAGACTTCTATATTTCACAAGTATTATGTTAAACAAAGCGAAACAACACAATCCTCAACACTAGATATTGACAATACAAGCTGTTATTTTGTTCAGAATAGGTCATTTTCACTTATTGTTTATCATGTTTATCGGTCATGATCATGTAGACAAACTGAAATATAGTTGTACATAATGACTATTTTTAAATATAAATCGATTATTATAGGTTAAAATGTCTATGAAAGTTAACACGTCACGAATGAATTTAACATTACCTTGACTGGTTTTCATTACATTATCTAGTGATGATTTTATCCACTTGATCGTTGGTTGAAATTCTTCTTTCAGTAACATACTATCAATTTTGTGATAATATCTGTTTTATGAAAAGGAATATTCGTACGAATGAACAGAAATAAAGCGAAGGTAACAAGCTGAAATAAACAAACTCTTAGCTGGTAATATGTAAAGTAATTCCTAAAGTATTAGTTTTCGCGTTCAAATGTTAATGTTGATTTAGGTGAAGTCCTGAACCTGAGTATTTTGACTGCTGACATTTATCAACAAGAGATATTTATTTCTTTTAGGTGCAGTGTTCTAGCTATTTGAGGTTATTCAAGCGCCACTAGGTTAAGCCGTTGGTTTATTTGGTAAACGATCCGCTTTTTGAGGCTTACGAACCTGAAGAGTTAATGTGATTTCGTGTAGAAATCTTTATAAGTTCCGGTTCTTGGTGTGCGAGCGTCTAACCAGGAGGAAGTATAGTCTACGTGCATACCGGTGACACACATCCTTTCACATATATTCACCCACCTGGGAGGGTAGATGGTTACAGTTCCTTTAGAACGTACTAGTTACAGCTGACTACCTCTTACGCATTACATGCATATCAATGGTACAAAGGCTTTCATCCATGCACTTCATAAGCATAATTATATTTTGATGGTGTAGGCAGCTGATTTTATCAGATATGTGGTAGAAATTCGAGCTAGTATTCTCGTTATGAACTCGGTGTGTAGACTTGGCATATATCTACATACATAACTCCACAAGCTGAGACTCATGCAATTCATGTATATAAGCATGCACATAGAGAAGCTCGTCATGATTTTTAAGTCTTTGAAATGTGAACTCTTAGTGATCCAAGCTCGGCATAAGGGTGTTGGATTAATCTGATCTCTGTCAACCACACAAATTAGATAACAAGGTTACTTTCGTTACACAGCAGCACTATATAAAGGCTTTCAGACGGATTTTGCTGCTCAATAGCGAGGTGGATTGCATACATATTGCATTCATCTTATTTTATATTCTCAACTAGTTATTTTCATTTTCCCTTTATATACGTCACTTCTGTTTAATGAAGATGTTTTCTTTCATACCGTTCACAATGAACTGGAGTCCCGTCAGTTTATTATTCGTAATTTAGTGCCGTTACTTAAGAAACTCTGCGTTAACTAAATAAAAATGTGACTTGATAGGATAATGTAAGGTTCAGACACCAGAGATTTACACCTCATGTGTAATGATTAATGATACAAATAACATCTGAAAATCGTTGTATGTTAAGTGAGTTTCGATCCAATGACTAAATGGATTATATTTGAAAATCGTTTACTTAATAGATATTTAGTCCGAAGTCAATATCCGAAATTTTGACGAGAAATGATGGTTGACAAAACGGATGTCATTGGATGTATTGAATGACTGCCTCAAGTACTTCTATTTAAAGTGGGCGCTAGAAATGTTGTTCAGAACGATAATAAAAGTTTCGCTCTTAAACTATCCAGCTTAGAGAACACAACACTGTCAAACATTTACACATGAGAAACAGATCTTTTGAATCAGTTTGTATGGACCATGAGACTCCAACATAATACACTTAAGAAAGTTTGTTTGCGGCGAAAACCATATATTCCAAGCTCAATATTGTTGGTTTATTGGCAATGGGCTTCTACGTAGTTATATAATACAACAAAACTATTACTCAGTTTTATCTAGTTTTTAAATTGTTATTTAACTAATAAGCCATCTCAACAAAATCGTAGTGTGCATAAAACTGAGTACTTAAATCAAGAAACTTCAGTTATGAAAAATTATTTATCTATCATAAGCATAACACAAAAGATGATCAACTTAGTAAACCAGATATCTTATTAATTTATTTTCTTAAAACCAAAAAAAATGGCAGCTGATTTTCAGTAAGATAAACGTAAGTAGTTTTAGTGTAATGTTGATAACGAAGAAAGTAAAGTGAGGTTAATGATATATAGAAATACAGATTATATTATACTGTCAATAATCTAACTTACTTTGGTATTCTAACTAAATCATAAAAAAATCGTTCAGCAGGATCCATATAATTTACATTACCTTGAAATGCTTTTAAACACTTTATTTCTTGATCTGTTGGAAGTAATTTAATCAAATCTTTTAACCGTTCTGAACCAATTAAACTACCATCACACTGATCAATCAGATCGAGTAAGTTTATATGAATATGTCGAAACTGACGTAGAAAAATGTTTATATTCAAACACCGTTGACTTTCCAATAAGTTGGGCTTAAATTAGAAATATAAGATTAAAGAAGTATGTGACACAGAAAGAAAACTTTGCTATTGGCTAAAAATTGAAGCAAATATACTTTGACAAATGTGAGAGATATTCTCAGGTATTCTATTCAAGTTTTTACTGTTAATACTTCAGTTCTAGAGGATATAATGGATCTGATGTTATAGGATTAAATAACGAATTATATCGGATCGTATCTTTCGTTTGTAACTGTCTGCATATTTGTTAGATGCAGCAGTAATTCATCCAAGTTTTAATATTTTTTATACTGCAATAGGTATAAAACAGCATGTGAGCTACTGAAAGTAGCTGATGAATGTGTGTCAAATTTTATTCTGATTATCATCGTCGCAAAAGTAATAATGTAAAGATTTATAACTCAGATGAACTATTTTCTGGTGTTCCATTCTCTTGTACCTGAGATTTATATTTACGTCATTTATTGGGAATACTTCCTAAAATTTTATATTATCTAGTAATTTTTTCAATGAAGAGCAATTAGGTGAGTCTGTTAACAACATCTTTAAGCAGTTCAATTTAAAAATAACATGTTTGTAAGAACAGGAATTTTTAAAAGCCATCCATGGGTTCCTCAATCTCCTGGGTTTGAACTATAATCATATTAAATGTTGTTTCAGCGTGGTTCATTGAATCAAACCTAACTACTTAATGTTTGTATAGATCTCTAAAGACGTTTTAAATGGAATCAAAATGGTTGATATATATATATATATATATATATATATATATATATATATATATATATATGAACATAGTGACAGTTACCTCATTATGTTTTTGACTAAACTCCATAGTACGCGAAGATGAAAGTGATCTCCCACGTATGGGATAAGAATTTATAGCACAAAGTAGTTTACGATCCGAAGTTGGAGGCACTGTTAAATTGCTTTCTTGTATATTTTTTTCACCTGAGAATTCCTGATGAAAAGAGTCATAATTAATTCCTCTTTCAACTGTTTGTTTATCAGTTGACATTGGTAGGCGAAACAACTCAGTGTTTGGTGATATTTTCGTTTCAGGATTTTTCATAGAAAGTTTTTGCTTCTGAGCAAATAGGACATTTAATTTGCTCAGATTAATAAAGCTGATTGGTTTTCTTCTTACAGTCTCATTATGATCAGACGTTTCCGAGCATGTACAATTATTGTTATTCCATACATTATTATATTTAGATGTATAAACTTTTGTCCAACGAAATGGTTTTAGCTTATGTATATTAGATTCGTTTACATTTATAGTACTGGATACTATTTGATTTTGTATTTCTTGATGACGGGATTTTTCATCTTCAGTTGAAGTATTACCTGATCCTGACGTAAATGATATTTTTGATGAAGAAAAAAAAGTTCCAGGGAGTGGAGGTGGAGGAGGAGGGGGATTAAATGGTGGTGGGGCTGGTATAGAGATTATTGGTAACTGTGGATACAATACAGAACAACTACTATTAGACATAGATAAATGTGTTAATTCATTATTTGTAGATGAACTAATCTTCTCTAAACTTTCAAATATATTCTTGTTAGAAGATTTTAAATTTGATAATTCCAAAGTTATCTTAGATTTGATTTGTGCGTCTTTAGTTTCTGTATCTAATTCTTCAGATAGACAAATATTTCGATTGAAAATATTTGTTAAATGTTCACTTTCTATATGTTTATCTAGTAGATCATTATCAGAACAAATCGATTCGAAATCACTAGTTGATGTACTTTTAACCATATTATTATTATTATTATTATTATTATTATTATTATTATTATTATTATTAGGGTTTACATTCATAAGTATAGGTTGATCAATTTTCAATATTGGTAAACTAGATCTAAAGCATTGAGTGAAAGATTTATATGTACATGATATATTCCATGGATAATTATCATAATTTATAAAATTTGTTAAATCTAATAAACTTTTACTTTTATATTTTTGTACAATATTCAATGTTTGAAAATTATTTTGATGAATTGTTTTAATTGAACATATTAATAAATGACAATTTTCAATAAATTTTTTCCATATAATAATAATATAATATGTATTATACATGTATGTTGTATGTATATGTTTATGTTTATTATCCATAGAATTATACTTAAATAATAATAATGATTTAAATAAATGTTGTAGAATTAATAGAAAATAATATTCAAGTAAACTGTTTTGTTTTAACTGAAAGGAAACAACAACAAGAATAAAATAAATAAATAAGTGAATGAAAGAAACGTGTTCTGATCATTTTTCTTAAATGAAAAAAAAATAAAATAAAATTTCTACTTTTTTTTAAAGTTTGGGAATTTCTAGTGAACTTCATGATCCTCTTCTTTGTGCTGTTTTCTGAGGTAAACTTTATAACTTAAAAATTTAAGAATGAAGATATTTTTAGTAAATAGTTAAGATTTATTACAAACTTGTCATAAACACTTATGTTGGGCATGTTAGATCCCCAGAATTCACTTGGAAAACGATCTGATTTTTTAATTTTATTAAGAAAATTTGGATTTCTTTGTTTTCGCACCAAAAGCTTCCTTTTCACCTTCATGTCGTATTTCCCACTTAGGAGAACCTTAAACTATATTGTTCCTTTGTGTCTTTTAGTATGCTATTTTGTAACTCTTCTAGAGGACGGTTTTGTGTTGTATATATGCGTTTTGATTTGTGTCTGTTGTTATCGCTCGTTTTCTGGCTTTTGTGGAATAGACTTCTCCACCATCTCTAAATAGACTTCTCCGTTTGGACTTCGACTTCTCTCTCTAGTTAGCAGGGCTGGGACGCAATAGAATAGCTAGTTTATTGGCCTTTGGTCACAAATCTTTGTTCTGTTTGCAATCCAAGTGAACTCGTAACCGCTTCAGAAATAGCAATTTATTAGTTGTTGTTATGGCTTTGTATGTCTGGTTTTTCTATCGCACGACTTATCTACCAATCCGAATACGACTTATGCGAATCTTCACACTAGGCCAACCAATGACGTTCAACCGGTGTGGGCAGTTTAGTGTCCTTATTGGTCCTATGTCCTATGAGCCCTTCCACTTGAGTCCAGAACAAGATACCAGCTTCCGAATCAGAGCAGATCGTTTATTTCAGGCATATTTGGTTTATATATCAATCACACAGACCACAACGTACCATAAAATAGGAAATAATATTTGTACACAAATAAGCCCAAAAAGTGGCTGTGAATGTGGGAGGCAGTAGTTAATAAACTGAACATAACTTAAGAACCGTAACTCGTACAATAATAAATTATAGGCCAAAATAAAGCTTATCATAAAAGGAACATAAATATACATAGTGTAATTGTCGAGTAGTTATACAATAAGAATATTTATAGAATATTAGTCCATGAATAGTCCTCGGGAGTTACCTGTGATTTAATCTCCACTCGGATATAACAGTTGTCAGTATTAATATGATCATCTGTGATACCACTGATAAGTTATAGATATTAAAGTAGTACCCATAGTATTGTGCAGTATCAGTCAACATTTTATAGAAGGCTAAGCTACGTTGAGATTTGTGGAGATTGTCTGAAGTAAAATATGTTGTATAATGATGAAAGTTTTTGCTACGGACATAAAATTTAGACATTAACATTAATATGACTCTAAAGATCAAATCTTACATTCTGACCCTAGAATAGAAGTTAACACTTAATTTTCTTTACTGATAATATCAGCGTTTTGGACAGAGAAACAGGTGTTTATTTAAGGCTAAACGAATGTTACACTTGGATTTTCTTCTACTCAATATCTAGACATGTTATGGCTTTTGACGTTGTGCCCTATTAATGTATAGCGTAATGAGATCGCCAATTAGAGAACAGTGACTTGTCGATTGAACTCCGCCTGGAGTCCCTCCGGGGGCTACTGCCGGTCCCAAGCCCGGATAAAGGAGGAGGGTTGGGCATGGGGTTAGCGTCCCCATCCCGTAGAAAACTAACTCGCTAAAAAAACGCTAACCAGAAATAATTATTCAAGTAAGACTTGTCGATTGGACTCATGACGCATAAAACCCCATACGAGCACTCTCGAGTCTTTACCGGTCCTGCCTTTTGCCTAGCTCTGCCTATAAGTCCGGATCATACTGAGTTTATATACAAACCAAACAGGCCACATCGTTCTACTAAATAGAAACACAACATTTGTGCAAGATCTAGCCAAAAGTGACTGGGAATGTGGGAGACTGTAATGAATAGACGGGGCATAACTCAAGAACGATAAATCGTATAATACTAGTCTACGGGTCAAAATAAAGCTTATGATAAGGACATAAATATGCACAGGTTAACTACTTAACAATTATACAATAAAAATATATGTATCGTATTGGTCCATAAATAGTTCTCGAAAGTTACCATTCGTAACTCTCATCGGGATATAACAAGGCAGATGAAATTTTAGGCATGCCATAAGTTTCTATTGGTCAGTGTTACTATTACCAATATCTGCGTTGATGGGTTTCTAAGAATAAGGGATTTCTGGAAGTTTGACGTTTAAATCAGCAAGCAGAAATAACTATCCAATATTTCTTTATTTTCAATGATTAACTAGCTCAATTTATTCGGTGATCCAGACTATCTTCAAATTAACCACTCTTCACAAACCTTTCATTTTGACTTGTTTTTATATTGTCATAATAGTACTACTTACCCTATCTATCTATCTCTTATATATATATATATATATATATATATATATATATATATATATATATATGTAAACTCATTTTTCTCATTAGCACTTTTAATATGTAGAAATACGAACATAGAATTCATTTTATGACATAATAAACTCGTATCCCAGGAAATAGGCTATTTCAAGTTTGTAGTATCGAAATGTCACAATTCTTGCAATCTGTGTGTGCCATATATGGGAGAAACATCCAAACAATTGAATGTAAGGTCGAAGGAATACAAACAGTGTTTGAAAAACGTTCCCAAATCGTCGGTTGACTTAAACAAACTTAAGAATAAGTTAGCGCAGCCAGTCTAAAGCCTCGGTTCTGAGTAGAATCATATTCGATGAATATTTTATCTGATTGTTCTTGATAAGAATATGATGAAAGTAATTAGTAAGTTGATATGAAGTTCATAATTTTTTTGTCAAATAAATGGGTGTTTCCCAAAATATTTTTAATTAACTAGGGCGTTAGGAATAACAACCTTCATAATTTTGAAATTTATTGCAGATCAAAGGTAATGGAACCACTCAAATACATAAATATAATAAAACAACATTACAAAATTTCGAGGATATTATACAACTGATGATTTGATTTGATTGATTTATCGCTCAAGAAGCCTTTATAACTAACTACTATGTATATCAACAGCTAACTCAGCTGCTAGTTGAGAGGTGTGTTGAACTTACAGTTAATTATAGTAGAATAATTAATGCATTAATGATGTAAATCTCTTAGTTAAAAAGACCCATCATTCGAAGTCATAAGTGCCACAGTTATAATGCATATCTTCTTTGAAAATTAATATTTTGGGGAAAAAAATAATCAGTAAAGTACTGAGTAAATGCAATATTATGAAATATGTCTCATTAGAAAATTATATCGACTGAAAAACCAATGGAAATTAAATAGTGGTATGACAGTTGATGTTGTTGTATTTAAAAGACCACGTCAAAATAAACAGACTAATATAAACCATCTAACCAAATAACAAACGTATTCCTGCAAATGGTTAACCAGTTGATGAATTTGCCTAAAGTTCTAATTAGAATGCATTACTTGCGGAAATAATGAAGTATACAATAAACAGTTACTTACCGAAAACATTGGGAAGTAGTTGCGCTACATACAGAATAGACTGGAGTTGAAAATTCTGGTATTTTAGATTCTACTCGATGATTAAATGACCTAGCAGTGTTAACTTTTATATTATATAAGAAACCATTAATTTTTTATTTCCTAGAACTAACCTTGTTTTATACTGTTATTCATAACAACTTTGAGACTCTGAAATAATTAATTAGATAACCAACATAAAACTTGTTGAGAGCTGTTACATATGTGGTTTATGGTACTTATGTTGACATAAATTTTAGTAGTATGTAGCACTAATCAAAAGTAGAATACTTGCGAGCAGAAGATTTATAAGATTGAGAATGAAGAGAAAAGAAGAGAAAGCTGGAAGTAATCAAAATTAACAACAGAAATGAAGAAACGATGAAGTTTTTTAGAGACAACTTAAACATGTGAAAATGATGTATTTAATGTATGATTTTCACAATTCACAAAGCCACTATATGATTTTATTTTATACAATAAATTGCTTATCTCAACCAAATCTTAATTCACTACACATATACTAAGTGAAAAATATCTTTTTGAAAGCCTTACTTGTCAGATAACGTCATAACCGACTTTTTTTCTTCTAAACACAGTCCCTTAATGTTTCTTATCTTGATGAAGATTCTATTTAAATCACTTCAAATAAAATATTTTTCCAACAATTATAAGTCTTATAAATCTTGACAAACATGATCAGAATTCTAATTAGAAGTGTGTACAATCAAATGTTCATTGTATGGGACTAATTCTAAATGAGTACGTGATTAGGTTTTTATGGTTCAAATGATTCAAAGGATTAAATAAAAATGTCTTCATTTACTACACTATAAGTAAATGGTTATTCGTAGGTATGGAAACTAAAAATTACTATCCGAGTTAACTTTTTCTATTGTTAGTACATTTCTATTCTGTATAAAGTTTAAGACATATATATTTAGTCTTTTGATGCTCATTATCCACATTTTTTTCATAGACTAAATACTACCAGTTAATTTCAGAGTTTTGTCTACAAATCTTCAGGATTAATTAAATATTCCAAATCCATCTTCCCATAACATCAATATAAACAGAGAAAGTTTCAAAAATAAACTGAGTCTGTCATATATCATATCATCTATCATATATCTATATATCTATCTTCTAAGCTATTTACAAATCGGTATTAGAAACAACAGACATAGTAAGGTAAATAAAAACAAGCACTGACTGGGACAACACCTAAATCCAGTTCATTTTCTGAATTATATTCGATAAGCTAACTTTAAGTCAATTTCAATGAACTTGATATTAAGTCTTTCAGCTTAGCATTTACGCTGCAAATTGATAAATCGAATTCTACCGGTACTAAATAAGATTTATTCATGTTTTGTTCAATATGTTTCCTACTTTTTCTTAAAATTTTTGTTCGACTATTATGATTTAATTGTTCGACTCATACGACACAATGACATAGATACTACACAAACATGCCTAGCTATGTAAATATACACCTCTTAAAACAATAAAACTAAACTAACTCAATTTTTTGCCTATCCGATCCTTAAATTGATTTTATCTGAACCCCAATAGTTATCAGAAAATTAAGCGGTTTGGTTTAACTGGAAGTATTATTCAGAAAATTATTATCGCTAATGAGAAACAGTAAGAAATTCCATAATTTTCCTGATTAATTTTGAATCTGAAAAATTAACTATCTGATTCATATTATTTTGATTAATAACACGTCTGCTTTCTAATAAACAGGGATTTAACAACTTAATAAGTAAGACGCATAAATATGAGGATTCTGAAAATGCACTACATCGTTTGATTAACTCAGAATTTTTAAGTTACTATTAATCCATAGAAGGCGTAATAAGCATCATTGTAGATAACCAGAATACTATGTAAACCGATGCAATGATATGACCAAATAAAACTTCTCTGTTAAACACAGTTACTTGAATGTAACATGGCCATTAACAGACTAATATTCTGTTCTAAAACCATTCAGTAATCTAGTGAAATGTTTAAGAGTTTAAATAATAAAACCGAAATCAACTAACATTTGTTTCCATCTCCTTGACGAACACCAAATAGAATGATAAAAATGAGCTAACTGTTACCATCAGAGAATATCAACTATGTCCTCCAAGTTTACATAAAGCATAAATGTAAATAAAAGACCTATGATCAATTGTTTGTAAGAACAAACTATTACACGAGAAGACAAAACCCTTCGAGAAAATGGAATGACCTTCTTAAAATTGCAAATTATTATTATTAGAAGTTTATCAAGCTTTTTTAAAAGTAACATCATTTTTTCCAATCAATGTGAAGATTACTATATGCAGTTGTTGTATACCGATTTCTTAATATTCTGTGAAATACAATCTTATTTTGAGTTGTTGTGTATAAAATTAGATCTAAATATAAACTATTATAGAAATTTTCTCAATATCTGAGAAAACTTTAAATGGTTAACTCTAAACTCTTACATTAATTTATCTCCCATAATTTGAACATAAAAGTTAGCTTTCTCCAATTGGCAAATTTTACACAATGATCCGAAGATCATATGTTGAGCAAAATAGACTGTAATGTTAATGTTAACTCCTTTATTAAACACTTTTCACCTTTATGATATTCTGCTAAAATAACAGTAGAATTTCCGAAAATAATTAAAGTCTGGTGCTACTGTATGAAAGTTTCAGTCAAAATATAATTATTAAGCACAAAATATCTTGTGATTTTAACTCCGCCTGCAGCCTCTCTGAGGCTACTGCCGGTCCCAAGCCCGGATAAAGGAGAAGGGTTGGGCATGGAGTTAGCTACCCCATCCCGTAGAAAACTAACGCGCTAAAAAGAAATGCTTACCAGAAATCGTTTGATTTTGATAAAATTACAGACCAATTTACAATTCAAAAAACGGAACAAATTTATTGATCTGATAGTCAAGATAATATAATATTAATTCTCTGTTTTCAAACTATTGTGTAGCTAACAAAACTACTTATTTAAACATATACGGTCTGTTACATAATAGTTAAGCGTAGAAAGCTCACAATGTGAATGAGTTTAAATAATATTTCTAAATTAGATGAAATTATTTATTATACTTTAAGCTAATAAAAAAGAAGCTTATGAATGAGAGTGAATAGTATATGAATTGTATGGAATGTTAACTATTCCCTTGTCATTTAGACTAGATTTATCAAAATTTAAAAATACTTTTATGATACTTAATTGTTTGAGGACGGTTTTCACACTATCATATTACTTTCTGTGATTAAATGATCCGTAGATATTTGTCATTATTTGAGATTAACTCGATATTTTCAAAGGAACAATGAATATTCAGAGTCGGTTAAGGATTTCGTATCCAATAATAAGTAAGAAGTGAAGCTTTGATTTTTATTTGGATTAAACTAAATCATTCAAGATTTGGAGAACTGTAAGTTGATCTTATTCTCTATAGTCTGTGTCCATGATATGATAGATAAGAATTTTTGTGTTTATTTTGAATATGATTTACTAGATATTAACAGTGGTTTGCATTCAGATTAACTACCATTCAGTTGATACATTTGGAGGAAGAAATCAGGAAGCACTGGAAGTGGATAGGACACACATTGAGGAAAGCAACCAACTGCGTCACAAGACAAGCCCTCACATGGGATCCTCATGATCAAAAGTAAAGAGCGAGACCAAAGAACACATTACGCCAGGAAATGGAGATAGACATGAGAAAAATGAACAAGAATTGGATGGAACTAGAAAAGAAGGCCCAGGACAGAGTGGGTTGGAGAATGCTGGTCGGCGGCTTATCTTCCATCAGGAGTAACAGGCGTAAGTAAGTAAGTAAGTTTATACATTGTTTTCAGATATTTTAACTGAATATTAATTAGCTATCAATCTTTAAAACATGTCGGTAATGATATCTAAGTTTAAGGTGATCAACAATAATAAACATTTTATTGGTTGTAAATTATTTTTGTGTGGAATCGACAGTTGATCTTTAGTCATTTAGGTTCAATAGATTGATATTATTTAATCAGTCTATAGTAATGGATGTATGTAATGATCTATGAAATAGAATCCTATCCTAGATACTTCAATATACATATGAACTTTTCTGTTTGTGCATATATTATGCTAACTTACCGTAATAACAATAACAAAGCAACTAGAAGTATTCCTAATTTACTTTGATTCAGTTTCATTTAAGTAAATTAATTTTATAGTACCTGAAATTCAAATTATCTATCAAAATAAATTAAAATATGTACAATAGACAGTGAAACAGATGATAAACATACATTTTTTCGTAGTTTCTTATATAAATGATCAATTTCATCTACATTTTTATAGGAGAAGTTTACATTATCCAAATAGTTTATTAAATCGCCTTTACAATTAATACAATTCTGTACATTATTATTTATACAGTTAACATTTTCCATTGGTAAACTAGGAATTACTGGGATTCGTATGGATTTTTCTGATAATTGTTGTCTTGATGTTGTAATGTGATAGGGATTCTCAACTAATGATGATAAATTTGAACATTGTGTGAATGAAGCTTTATTATTAGTGTTATTAACATCTGTTTCTATGTTTAATGATTCCAGTTGACTAATATTCCTTTGTGATTTGAATTGATTAGACAACATATAGGAATGATTATTGTTTTGATTTGTTGAATGATATTCTTCTGTTGATATCCAGTTCATTATTCAGATATAGGAGTGTGAAAAACTTTTAAATTTGTTATCGATATGAAACTGAAGTTATCTATTATTTTATGAAGATAGTTGTACTTAATCCATAATAAGTGTTGGCTTTGATTCAGATTTAATATTTCTCTCTTTGTCATTCTAAATGTTTATTTTATATACACATAAAAAAAACATCCCAACTACGTTAATGTCTCTCATACTATCGTTAGATTAAAACAAGTTGAGAAATATACCAATATCGTTGTATTCGATGTCAAGGGCAACCAAAATTACTTTCAACCAATCCGATTAAGAGAAAAACGTTTCAATTAATTTACGCCCAAAGTGATTAGGAAATGTCTAATTATTTTTTTTATGCTTTTTTCCTTGTCAATTGCTGCTTTTTATATATTTATTTTATTGGCTTATTCAAACAAAGTTTTCATCCTATATTTCAGAAAGAAAACAATAACAAGGGTATTGCCTTGAATTATTTATCATGATCTCGAGAGCTTGATAAAATTCCAAACCAAATACCATTAAATCTGTTAATCTAGAATAAGACTTGGCTAAATTATAATATATAACACTCACTATGTTAAGAATAAAACCCAATAATTAATCGTTTTGCAGAACATTTTTAGTAGGCTAGAGCTCAATATAAATTAGAATAATTTTCGTTGTCTGAACTAGTCCAAAAATTAATTCTCTTATCGACCAGAGATGTCTACGCAAACGAAGGATAAGTTACCTAAGTTGGCCTCCTCAATGTTCATTTACAAATTCAGCTGCCCCTGTGGAGATAGCTATATCGGGCGTACTACCAGGCGACTTAACCGACGAATGAGTGAGCATCTACCAGCGTGGTTTATAAAGGGCCAGATAAAAACAATTCGCAGTTCTATTTTGGCACATCTCATTGATAGCGATTATGCTGTAGATAAATCGAACTCATTTCGAGTGATCTACCGTATACCCCCATCATTTCCCAACGGAGTTCGTTCCCGCTTCCTACATATAGCTGAAGCCATAGGACTTCGCACTTATAACGCCAATTTATGTGTACAGAAGAAATTCGTAACCTCCCTATCCCTCCCATGGCCAATTATAACTCAACTATCGATTTTTTTTAAATAACTATTTATTTTATTCTATTTTTGTTATCATTAGCCTTCTTTTCACATCTAGTATTTGTTTGTAATTTTCCGCCTCTTGTCGCTTGTATTCTTCACTATCTAATTATTTACTCACTTTTTATTACGTAATGGTTTTAGTGTTTTGTGTTGACTATTCTAATTCTATTTACCCACGTTTCACTTTCTATTTCCAATGTTTAACTATTGAGATAAATTTTGTTATCGTATTTTATTATTCTTACTACTATCAGTACACCTATCTTCCTACTATCAACTTGTATTTTTACTTATTATGTGTGGTGACTTATTCTATTTCATTGTGATTATTGACCCATACTGTCTTGATTGGTTTAAGATTTTCGTATAAATATTCATGTATATTAGAGTAAAGCCTGATGATGATCTAATTGAGAACAATTGTTCGCTTATATGTGTTGTTCTAATTTTCACAATGGGAATCTTTAATATTTTAAAAAATTAATAATAATAAATTTGAGTCTCGTACACAAAGATTCAGATACACTATATCATTTATTCATTTTCGTCATTATAATCCCATCTACCGATCGCTGTGACGCAGTTATAATCACCTCCTATCTTCCTCAAATTTAATTTAATCACTTCAGTTCTTCGAAAGCATTCAATTCTCGATTTTTTCTACGCCTTTTCTGATCTTGTTAATTTCTCCCTCCATGTTAATGTGGAATATGGCAACTTGGACCGATGCTCATCAATATTATATCCTATGTTATCTGTAAGTGATTGACTGAAAGTTATTCATGGCTCCTCATTTTATTCAACATGTACCAAACTTTCACACAAAAGTAATATTTTGTTAGATGAAGTTAATTATCTAGTTGAATAGACTATTGATATTCATTCAATTGGGATACTGTAGTTTCCTGAGTGAAGAAGAGTAGTTTTTCCAGATTCACTATGACCTATTATTTAACCATCTAAGCTCAAAATCCGTTAGATATGTATCTATACAGCATTCCTAAAAAAACATAATATTTAGAAACCTGAATACAGTAATTAAAAAAAAAGAAAAATAGACGACTGTCAATACCACAATTTGACTTGAAAATTTCAAACAAATTACGGTCATGGGCATGAACCCCGTGTGTGTGCGCAGTGCTGAGGAGTCATATACTAGGACGAAGCGGCCTTCCAAGTTTTCAATGGTGCTCTGGCTTACATCAACTCATGAATTCAACTATTAGAATTAAGCGAATCGCTTTAATCATTCAAACTTGATATTTGCAAAAGTTGTTTGTTCTACTACTTCAAGATTTGAAATTAAGTTGCAGAACCTCACAAATTCAATTTTCCGCCTATTAGATTATCATAACTGTATGAATATTATTAAGTGATAGGTACTGACTATCGATTGGTAGCTTGTGTAAAGTGCTACTTTAGATTATATTATCACTTTCTAAAAATTTTCTAGCAGTTAAGATTGTCTGAAATCACATGAAGTTTCAGTTGAATATAATCCATAGTATATATATATATATATATATATATATATATATATATATATATATATATATATATGAACATTTTTTAGACATTAACATTGGTACAAGAAAGCATCAAATACAGATGCGCCACACAAACTATTTGATTTTTGTGAGGGTCGGAAAACCCAAAGCAAAGCAGATGTTTTTATCAGGAAGCTACACCCGGAGCCTTCGACCTAAAGGTCTAATTCACAAGGCAGTAGAGCAACATTAGAAGATGCAGTCCCATGGTAGCCGGTCACCAACAATTGGTATACACACCATTTGTTCCCTCAGGATCCTGGAGCCCACGTGCACCATTCGTTTGGAATCAGAATTTTCCAACTCCCCTAGGTAGATTCTCAGTGTGCACCAACCCCGTTAAAGCGCCGGACATTCGCTTTTTATCCTCTCAATTTCGTAAACAACAGTAATGCCGCGAGAAGACAGGACTTCTCTTGTAGTGTTTGTATACATGTGGCTATGTGATAGCATTTGGATAGGGAGATCGAACTCTCCCAACTCTCAGCCGTACCAGGGCATTTGGGGGCTTATATATATATATAAGCCCCCAAATATATACGTTACAAACCCTTAAAAAAATCTCCAGTAAAACAATTACTTTATATCTAACAGTAATATATTTTAGTTATCCAAACTCGAAATAAATTTTTAGTAATTCATAAACAAAACTAAGTCCGTTATCACGTCTTGCCAATTAAAAATCTTGTTCGAATAGTCATCTGGTAATTAGTCATTTGTTTTAGTGTAAATACTTTATTCAAGTCCTAAACTGTATGATACTGTGGCTAGATGTAATCTTTTAGTACCAAGATAATTGCTGTACATCAATAATGCCTAAAGCTTACATTTATTTAGCAAGTTCATCTATAATGAATAGAGCGTGAATATATCAAAAATCCCTTTACAAGAACCATAATGAGTTATACCAGTTCCAATTGTTAGGCCTTAAAAACTAAGCATGTCCGTTGAGGTCATTTGATAAAACTCTGCCATGCCGACAACCATGAACTACCCCAAGGTCCTTGAAATTTTTATACTCCTTCAAGTCAGTTATCAAAGAAACTAGCAAAACTAAGTCTGTAGCCAGAAAAATTAATGAGATGGTAATGTATATAGTGGCAGAACACCAGTGGTTTACAATACATTCTGGGAGTGTTCATACCGTTGCTGTTTAGTAACAATAGTAGGTATATAAAATTCGAGGAATAGTTACTCTTCAGCGATCGCCGTAGATGTAACTGTTGTGCTCGTTCAGGAATTTCGGTAAACAATACATAAGTTATAATGGTATGTAAATTTTTAAAATCTCACAAGGAGTTTTGACAGCAAACGTTCAACTTGATAGCTGTACACAAACTAGTTTTAACTGGGTTCTTGTTTGTTGAATGTAAACCGTTACGAAGGAATACTGGGTCGCATTTTTAGTGACTTCATCCCTAATATGATTGACAAAAACTTTACAACTTACATCGAAATACATTTTATGACTGTAATTGTTGACAAAGTGTTAAGACAAACGCCAGTCCATCTCAAAAATTGTCGGTCCAATACAAAATTCCTATTCAGAGAAGACCATCCGAAATGGTTAGCATAAGGCAATTTACAAGACAAACTACAGAAAGTGACACTTGGTTAAATGGACTTGAAATGAAAGAATAACTCCTGAAAAATTCCACTAATCGAATTCGATCATCCATACTGACTTATCTAATTTACATCACACATACACAATCCTCAATTATTTGTGAAAAAATACTAGGGAAATAAAGAAAACAACTGTTGTAAAACCTACGTAATAATCAGTGTCGAGCTATGTTAAGGCTCTAATTTGGAGGAAATCTTTGTTGACTTAGCTTAATTTCTATTTTCACACGTAAATTTGAGTGTTGTCAAGCAAAAGCAAAGTCAGTAATACATTGACCAGAAAATCACTTATTTACAATTTATAAAGTGAACAACAAGATCAAAAACAATAAAAGTTCTGAAATTACGAGAAAACCAGATTTTAAAAATACCGTAACTATACAATTATCTTCTTAATATTGTGTACAAAATATATAAGGAAGATTCTGAAAGAGGTTAAAATATCCACATTAGTTTATGTTAGTAACAGAAAATATAGGTACATCTGTTAAAATATTGTTGATCGAATAATTAACAAAATAAAAATAAACAACTTGTGCTATCCAAAAAGTAATGCTTCAGCTTTCATATTAAGACGACCCTGACGTTTTATACCAGCGCGATTATGACGTTTGATTTGACGATTGAAGTCAACTTGTTTTTGATGTCTTCTTTCACGACGATTACGCTCACGAATTTCCTCAACAGTAATCAAGGCAGGTTTCTAAAGCAAATTCACGGAATAATTTACTAAAATAAGGTGATTTCACTACATTCTGCGATACATATTTTATAAGAGAAAAGAAAAAAGCTATGGAAAAATCACTACACATCAGATATTCGATGTATTGTACTTTATACTTTACTATGTTGTGGAGCAGTGGCTTCATGGTTAAGACATTCAACTTTCTGCCACTAAGCCCCAGGTTCAAACTCCGTTCCACCTACTTACGCCTGTTACTCCCAATGGGCTCCAGGCGGAGTTAGGTAATACTATAACCACACACAATTAATTACCTAGTGAATGAGTTGATCTACAACTTTCTCTCAAAACGGTACGGCAATCGAAGAACACTTGGAACTGTTCTGAAGAGTAGTTTGTCTATCATTCTTATCTAAATGATATGAAAGCTGATTACTGATACCTTTACTCGCGATTTTTAATAAACCTAGGAGGGATTGAAAAATTTATTAATTATTGGCTTTCCAGAAAATCATTCTTTCTAGGAAAATTTTAGGATGTATTGATGACGCTCAATTAGAGTTACTATTTCAAAAGAATATATCATTTTACCACCTGTATTCACTTCCTTATTGATTTTCTTCATTATATCTAACTGATTCACAATATTTCTAAACAACAATTACGGAGATTGAACGAATTTTATAGAATAAACGTACCGTTGTAATTTTTGTCTCTTGTACACTGTTAATATCCTTTTTATTATTCTTATTGTAGTTTATTTCCTCTAAATTAGATTGATCATTAACTTCAATCTGCGACTGATCATTTTCTTGAGAATCAGTAGTAGAACCGATGCTATCCGAATCAGAGTCACAGGTATTTTCTTCATCTTCGCTATTTTCCAGTGATGATAATTGAAGTCGAGCAACTGAACCTAAGAGTGAATCTTCTATTGTATGTTTAGAATGGCGGTTGGTAGCATTCTTGGAGATGTAACCCGGAGCTTTTAAATGCACGTCGACATAATCAACTCGTCTACGAAAAAGATTGAAAATGTAATTACTTAAAACCCAAAATCTGAAAGATAATTTGCTAATTCTAAACTAAACATCAATAATAATTTGAATCTAGTATGATTCACTTGAATGACGATACTAATAACTGGGATTTGGTGTCCTAGATAAATTGACTTACCACCACTAACAATAATCTCATTAAAAAGGAGCTTTGAATAGCCCTTAACCAAACATTTATAAGGATCTTTATTTTATCGTCATTGATTCTAAGGACTGGAATGAGTCTAGTAAAATAGGTTAGTATATGCACCGCGCACAAGAACCATTAGTCAACACAAATTTGTAGTTAGAAGTTGTTAGATCTATAGTAAATGTTCAAATATGAGTGTTATCCGTAATTTTCACCACATATCTATATCCTACTGAAATTCATTTACACAACTTGATATAAGACGTGACAAGTGAAAAACTCGATACGAGTTTCCATAGCCTCGAATAATTTTGATGTTTAGGTGGATAAATTTAAAATATAAACAAAAAGTATTTGGGCATCTATACAGTGTATTACTATTCCAATAACTGAAAAGAAATGACCAGTTGTGCTAACGGTTGCAAAGACTTAAAGTATTCCGACTTTAGTATTTAGGAATAAATTAATTAATACCAATTGGTATAAAGGCTTCTTAGACAAATGTTTTTTCTATGATTCTACAATTGATACACTGTGATTTGACTCGATAAGATAAATAACATGAACGGCAACTAGAACAAATGAAGAGTAGAAGTACAACGGTTTACACTGCGATTACACCGTTAGCAATCAGTATGTACTGGATTAGTTGGTGAGATAAATTTTGTCGCCTAATACAAACAATTGGAAGCGGTAATTTATTGAAAAAGAACAAATCTATGGTTCAATCTACCTTTTTTATAGCCCAGAAAGTGTAGATAAGCGAGGTTAACCTATTAGGAGTCAATGTAGTGTTTCTTGACATTAGGGCCACCTACCATTTGTTGGACAGCTCTGTTATCTGAGATCGTCTATTGAAGAATGTCTGAGTTTATTAACATCTTAAAAAACATATATACAAACACTTTAGGCAGAGTGACGGCATACAACAACCTCTCTCCTTTGTTCCATTCAAGCAATGGGGGTGACAGGTTTGCCCAATCTCACCATTACTCTACAACTTTGTTGTCGACGACGTTCTGGAAACAGACCTGATGGATGTAGGGAGTAGTAGTGTAAGTCTGTTGCCTGAAGAAATACTTTATAACGTTGGGTATGCGGATGACATTATCTTACTGAGCGATGATACCCAAGCCACTCAATCAGTTGGCAGTGTCCGTAGATATAGTGGAAGCCGGAGAGGATTATGCCAACTTGGGTCATCTTTAGAGCCTTACAACTGTAAAAGATCGGGTCCACAACGCGTCGATGAGAGCAGTTTTGCTCTCTACTTATGAAACTAGGCCTCCCCGAGTTGAGGATGTTAAACGACTTCCTGTGCTTGACCGACGTTGTCTCCGAAAGCACTGACATCCAGTGGCAACGCCATGTTAGTAATGCCGAGGTACGGTACTGTGTGTTCGGACGCAGCGACGAAGATTCAACCGGTTATCATCTTGGAACACTGACTTTGATGGCTTAGACATGTTCTACGAATGTCGTCCCGGAGAATTCCACATCGTGCATTATTTGCCGACGCTGGAGCCGGTTGGGAAAAGCAGAAGGGTAATCAGTGCACAACAAATATTAGTACAAAGGGGCACCGAATACATATGTGCCACACAAGTCACTCGACTTGCATGTGGTCTGTGATACTGCCCGGGTGCACAGACCGAAGTAATGGTCACATTCGAAATCTTCGACCTAAAGGTCTAATTCACAAGGCAGTAGAGCAACATTAGAAGATGCAGTCCCATGGTAGCCGGTCACCAACAATTGGTTTACACACCATTTGTTCCCTCAGGATCCTGGAGCCCACGTGCACCATTCGTTTGGAATCAGAATTTTCCAACTCCCCTAGGTAGACTCTCAGTGTGCAGCATTCGCTTTTTATCCTCTTAATTTCGTAAACAACAGTAATGCCGCGATAAGGCAGGACTTCCCTTGTAGTGTTTGTATACATGTGGCTATGTGATAGCATTTGGATAGGGAGAGCGAACTTTTCGAACCCTCGGCCGTACCAGAGCATTTGGGGGCACGGGATGGTGTCGTGGTATGAAAGAAAACTACACAGGACTGGCTTCTGTAGTTCCTCTGCCACTCCCTGGTTGAGGTCCTAGAGATGGTCCAATACTGGCTTGGAACGTTATCAAATATGGCCCACAATAGAAGCCTGTGGCTATCCTGCTGTAACTTTCTTCATAAAAGGAACGTTACTTCTTTAACTAAAACATTTTTTGTTGTATTTTTCGTAACTGGATTGCTTTACCTATTATTATTATTTTACTCACCAATTTCTGTCCATTGTTGCTTTTTCTTTTTATATACTCACTCTCCACTACTTATCTCTTCTTAGACCTATCGTCATTGTGTGGTGCATATACATTTAGTGCCCCATCGTACCAATGAGAAAAAACTTACTTTATAGAATCGAGGGAAGATGGTAGATCGTTGAGTGGAATATCGAAATAACGGCTGAAAAAGTTGACAACACCTTCTGCATCTCGTTCATATATGCTAGAGCAAAAGTAAGAATACTGACTAATAGAGCATGAAAATAGAATATATATTCAATAATCTCTTAAAACGATGTCTTAATTTCTATATTGTTGGACTTATAGTGGACACTTAATGTAGAAATTAACACAACGGTTTACAAATGAAATGGAAAGAATAAGCAGAAAATGAGATTTAAAAGAGGACTCAGTGCAACAGAAGACGAAAGAAACTGACGTAATCAATAACTCGAAAACCCAAAATTGTCAACCATTTAGCTATAAGACTTTAAACACCAGCCACAGAAAGTATTATTATGTCAGCTTTGGTTGATATAACATTTCATTATTTTTACACACACCAGGAAGAAATTTGAAACTTAAGATATATAATGAAGCTTACTAAGCTATTTATGTTTATATGGACTTTTATGGTGCCATTAAACTTATCGCTTACTCAAAAACTTGCTAGTTTTATGCATGATGATACAGTACATACATATTGGTGGGTGAGGAATGGGAACTCTACTATTGTGTTCATGACAAATGTGAAATATGTGCCAAACATCCTCGAACTTAATCTTGTATTTCGAAGACACTTTCATGGTGTTCGTCTGCTAGCGTAACAGGATCTTAGAAAATTACAATAATGAGACAACTAATTAAGCAACTGATCCTGAAAGTACCAGAATTTGGAGATCACATTCAAAATGCTAATAATAAAGCAGAGAAGTGCGGTATACAGTGATCGTCATTGGCATAAGAGCTTTGAATTTTAATCTCAGGGCTGTGAAATCACTATCTTACAGTTTCAAGTGGGGTTAGCAAACCTTAAGAGTTGAGAAAATGCTTCAGGTCGAACATCTACATATCAACCCATCATATTATTAATCGGATCATCGACTTCAATGGGTTTTCAAGTGAATTTTGAACAAACACACGAGAGAATCGACTGTGTCAACGGCTGCTGAGAAGTAACAAGCCCTCAACTTAAATATAACACATTTCGCCAAATTCCTTTTACAATAATTTTTCATTCTAATTACTGCTTTTGGTTCTAACTGTTAGCCTAAGCCACATTGGTAGATGCAGACTACATGGCTGGGGTTCGCGTGATAACCGCAATCAATGGGTGACATGACTCAGGATCGGTTATAGTGAGGCAAATTGAGAGTTCTAGTATTCCCCCATATACAGTTTCCCATTTCATCTTTTTTGAACCATATTCTCTATATTAGGTCTTCCCCATTATTATTGCTGCCAAATTATTTTGTACTCTCAATTTCATTTCACCGTGACAGTTTGACAATGAGGACTTGGCCCAATGAATGTTTGTGGGCGTCTTTACGCTGATTATGACTGACTGACAACTAATAGTCACAATCAGCATGCAACCTGACTTTTAGCTGAGACTGTCTTCGACCTGTGTTTAATCATCTCTCTTTATTGTCACACATTTTACACTCTGTGGGAATACCATGTTAGTAATGTCAAGGTTTCGCAGTATATTTCTCAGTACAGTAACGATACTTCATTTGATGTCACCATTATGAAACACCGACTTGGCGGGTTGACCATATGACCAATTCGAGGCTACATATTTTAGTATAGCGACGACCCCAACCAAATAGTTTGTTTTTAACAAAATGAATCAATGAGACAGTCAGTGAATCCGTAGACTTATAAGAATGTCTAGCAAAATTGTTTTCAAGGGCCGCGTCCCACTTTTGGTCGTATATGATAAACTCGAGTGTTTCTCGAACTGATCTTAGTAATCCTGACACCTCGTGTGCCAGGAGATTCACATAGAATTTTTGTTTCACATCGTATTAAACTCCAGAGATAAACACTCAGATGATTCGAAATCTAATGACTGTACTTGAAATACTTTTCTAAGAGAAAACAGTAGTAAAACGAAGATTTTAGGCCCTAACACAACAGTAAGAATGGCTTGTCACGATTACGTTGGGATAGGATTTGTAATGTTCTGTGATAATTTCATACACATAGACCAATTCGTAGATTTTAAGTTTTGAACTTGATGGTTTCTGAATGATTTATATCGATAATAACTTTGTTGAAATAATATTAAAAAGCCATTCAATGAAGCAGTAGCCCTACAAACAGCTTGTACTATCACAACTGAATTGAAAACCATTATGACGTTTACGCAAGTTCTGGATTGTAACCGATAAAGACATTCGAGATGTTAAAAATATAGGACCTCGGAAAGAAGTATTTAGTTGAAAAGAAGCTCACTTGTTAGCTAGTTTGTGGTCACGACTGATCATTTGAGGAAAGTCAATAAGAACCAGCTTGGGATTACTAATCTCCGTATTTTCTTCAGGGTCCAAATCGGAAACCATCAGATTAAACTCATTTAGATCACCATGAACAAGACCAAGAGAAGCAATTCTTTCCAATATGTTTTTGGCTTGGTAGTAAAGTAACCGTGCAAAAGCAGACTCATTAGAATTCAAAATACTCGGAAGTATTCTGTAAAGTGGCAGGCTATCAGCAATATATGACATGACGACAGCATTTCGGTTGTGGGTGTAAGGGATAGGAACAGGAATACCATTACTCCGAAGGCTCTATGAAGATCTAGAGTGAAACATTCACTTACCTGCATCATAACGAACTCGCGTCTAGATGCTAGACGATCCAAATACAACCAAGAGCAACTACTTCTGTGTTGATGATACTCTCGTTTTTCTTTTACTTTCCTGAAAGACGTTCTCCCAAGTCTGTGAAATTTAACAACGACTGAATCTCCTTCGTTTGGGAAATCAACCAAAGGGCCTTCTGAGCCATCTGACGGACGCCCACATCGCGCACCAGCAGCAGCAATGTAGACATCAGACTCTTTTCCAGCTCCAATCATTGTTCCTAGACTTTCCAATTGTTCAGATTTGAAAAATTGATTAAGAGCAAGGTAGTCGTAGCCCAGGTTGGTAAGACGATATCCTTTCATCGCTGGAAAAAAAACACGTCATTAACCTTCAGGAACGCCAATATCATAGTAACATAGTTAAAGATATGCAAGCAAATTAGCATTACGTTAACTGCTTGTATATCATAACAGTTAGTTTCAGATAAGATCATGGTCATCATGAGGAACACTTACAATGTCTGTTATCCGTTTCGTAGGCTACCAACCTATTTAGTATTAACTGTTCTTGAACTAGATGGCTGAAGCCGATACAACTTCGTCTAAGGTGAGAAATTTTAAGTGCTAACTCTGGAGGCACGACTTCGTGATTTTTTAGTCCCATCTCGATCTAAAAGCAAGAAAGGTTTGTGAACTCCCCAGTTCTTACTGCTATTAAAGCACGCCAAGCTTCACTGGTTATATATCGGAAACGATCCATCTTAATGCACTTCGGCATGATGAACTACAGTATTTGTATAGGTAAAAATGTAGACAGATATGTATTTCTATGCAGAAATCTAAGCCAAATACGCCACGCTGGAACGCAACAGTTTAAATAATTACGAAGTCTGGGGTAATGACTGTCCAATAATCAGTATTCCAGTTTCAGATCACTGTGAGTTCTGTAATGTACTTAATTACATAATTTATTCTTTCTTCACAATAATTCCTCATATTTATTTCAGGGACTCGAAAAATGTTCGAAAATTGCCTTTCGTAGCGGTAAATAGTTTTAATGAAGACATCTAGCTGAAGGTGTTCGGTCACGCATGCGCACCAGATTACGAGTGAGTATGTCGTACTACGCATATCTTACAGCCTTCAGCCGGTTTATAATAAACGCTTCCCGATACATCGATAGTCTTCCAAATATATCTTCGAACCTCTTCATTTTTGACTTCTTATTTCACTGGGTTGGCATACATCGATTATAAAGGTGTTACGTGTACATGTGCTATAAAACTCCGAATACCTGTGGAATGCTTAGTAGTGAGGCTGAAGTGATTTGGTATACCAAATCCTAAACTGTGAGTCAGTTCCTTCTTGGAACATTATGTGTAACTTTTTACTTTTACACATTGTGGTTTTGTTTTTATATCTCCGGTTACTTTTTCTCTCATTGATATATTGTATCTACATCATGTTGGAACAGACGCCTGAGTTACCTATTATTAAACCACTTTCGCCTACCACATCCCAGCTAGTGTCATCCTAGCCCAATAATATAGAAGTATGGTTCTGCTACACTAAAACTGACTCCCGCGAACGCGGGGTGACAGACTCACGTTCACGATTTCTTTCAGTAGTGAAAGCAGTGCCACGCGGATCAGCAGCAGACATTTCGCTATGAATACGAGAGGTCATCGGACAAAGCAACTCTCACGAGGCCCTGTTTAAATAGCTCTTGTCTAAGCTTCCCAACAGGTTCAGGAAACTCTTATCTCATTAAAAATAAAGCTGTAGACGAACTAACTGTATCTGCCGACCAGATCCTGGATATTACCAAAACAAATAACACCGAGGTTTATTCTGTCAACTTAAGTTCTTAAACAACATAAAACAACACCATAGACCCCTGTTACACTGACTCGTTATCTCGATATTCATCGTGATCGTAGACGATCTCAGTCATCTCGAAGAAGCTGGTCATAACGAAGATCTGTCTCTGGACCACTAGAGACAGATAATCATCATTGGTGCCTATACTATAATAAATATGGCACGTCTCCTCAAAAATGCAGAACACCCTGCAGTTTCACGAGCTCCAAATCGACCGTCAAGAAAAAATCTTCGTGAAACTTTCCCGCCGTGACGCGTTTGTGGAAACCGTAGCCAATGAACACAGGTGTAATGGCAAAAGTTCTTTATCACTTCAACAATTGAGCAGAAGTTGGTGTTCTCCCAGCAAATTCTAATGACCGTCTGCATGAACTAGTCCTTAACTTACAGGCGGCAAATGGGAAAACGATTGCCATAAACGTTAAGCGATATGGTTAACTTACGCAAACCCATTCACTGGGTCTTCGTTGTTGCGGACGTTACTATGCTAATCATAAGTCTGGACGTACTACAAGACAATCTACTCATCGACACAAAGGAACGAAGGTTAGTAGATAGCCACACTAAATTTCTGTATTGTGTGACTTTTTTTCTGGTTGAAGATTATTCCCAGCTACTGTGAGGCGCATAATCAACACCTTCTATCAACGAACACTCGATAATACCCTAAATGTACCAAAAGTGACAAAAATTACCGTGTAGGAACAAATCTTACACTCCATATCACGACTATTGGATCACCTGTAGCTTGCAAGCGCTCCAACTAACTCTAAAAAAGCTAAGGTTGATGTAAAACGAATTCGAATACATGATGGACTTGGGAATTACTCGGCCATCGAACAGTCCGTGGACGTCGACCTTACACATGGTCCCTAAAATGGACAGCAGTGTTTGATGGGGTTTTGTTCTCTGAGTTGGATGGTTTGGTCATGGAGCTTTCAGTTTCCAAGGTGTCGACCTTCTAAAACCCTCACAGCTTCAAAAATAAGACACTGATTTTCAACACGAGTTATCTTCGACAGCCCTGAAACTACAGACCAAACAGATGGAACAAGTGAGAAAACTTCACTCTGTGACACATCTACAAGTGGGGATCGTCAAACCATGCTGAGACACTATCGACTCAACGTACTCAATACGTTGGGCAAACGTTCGCATTCTAGTGTTCGTGCAACATTTAAGTTCATAGCAGAACGATTTTGCTAGCCTAGTATGCATATAGACGTGATGGAGTGGGCACGCTCCTGTGCAAGTTGCCAGAAATCTAAGATGATTAGACACAACAAATATCCACTAGGCTCTTTCATAACTCCAGATGTTCGTTCCGACCATGTTTATCTGGATTTGGTAAGACCATTACCAGATTCAAATGGATACTCTTAACTCCTAACTTGTGTAAACCGGTTCAATTGATGACCAGAAGTAGTATCCATCAAGGACATTACTGCTGAAACAGTGGCCAGCACCTTTGTCGAACGATGGGTAGCAAAATGTTGTTATAACCACTATCGATATTTTTAGAATCTTTTGTTCTTCTTCAGTTTTGTCTTCTTGTTAACTTAGTCCATGTTACGGCAGTCCCTCATTCAAAGTAACCATTTATTAAAAAATCTCAGCTAGTTCCGAGTACTAAGTGCTATCAGTTATCCTTAATTACAATAACATGCTTTTGCTTTTTGAAGATGAACGTATGCACAAATACTTGTTTTCACTAGTAAATGAAGGTCAGTGAAACAGTCAGTCTTTTGCTTATACATCACACCGTTCAAAAAAAGTAGTCAATAGATTACACTTTTCAAAAAATGCTACAGTTTACTAAGAAACTTTTTTTTTGGTTTACCACTTACATTTACAGATAAAAATCAGGAAGAATAACGTACAAAAACAAACTTCGTACAATAGGCTGATTACAATACGATTGTAGATGATATTAAAAAAGAGACATCTTTTAATCATAGTTCTTATTTACCAGATTATTTTTTCAATTCATTATCTTATAACCATAATCGTTGTATATACTAATAGAAAGGTTGTTTTCAATTCAGCATTTTACAAGTTTCAAAGTTGTTTAAATCTTTAAAATATTTGTATTATCGACAAGTTCAACAGGTTACTTTTCATAGATATAACTAGAATGCATTCTATCATAAAACACAATGAAGAAGTGGATTTTTAACTAAGGTAAAACAACCTAGTTATTCTTAAAGAAAATAAATTTTAACTCGCTGAATATTATGTGGGCAGAACAAGAGTTTTTCCTGATAATCTAATGTTCAGAATTTTGGATAACAATATACAGAGATATAAAAAGTAATTTCATCATGAATTAGTGAACCTTGAAAATGAGAAAGTTAAACACATGACTTGTATTAATTGATTTCAGATTGACTCTTTCTTAAGAACACTTTTTCATATGACAGCCAGGATCATAAGATTTAGCTGAATCAGAATGAAGTCGGTATGTTGTATAGGCTGAACTAGCGTTTACATAAACGTATGTCTAATAATTAAGTTGTATGCTCATATACTGCAGTATTTTTAAGCAAATCTGCATGTAAATAAGCATTGATACTATTATGCAAGTATATTAATACACACTGAGACAACAGATTTCATCAAAAAAGATCATTCAATCAGTTCGTCTATAGTAATTCATCAGTAATTGAAACATCTTGAATGAAATTCGTTGTACAATCAATCAACCATGAATAACAATAAATTATTCTTTTTGCATATGTCAATCATCTGACTGGTCAGTCACTAAAGTTAACACTTATTTAAAAATGGAGGAATGGAAAAGTTAGAAAATCGATTGATGTGTTTAAACATATCTGTTTATTGAATGTTAATACATAAACTCCCTTAGAAGTACGGAAAATCCGTATGATAAACAAGCAGTCAAAACTATTATTGATAAAATAACTATCAATTTGAAATGGCCTCTCTTAAAACTAAAGTTTTAATCTATGAAAGTATCTCATCGGTTTAGTGAATACTTAGCTATTCATGAAAAGGATTCTGAAGTACTTTGAGATTCTAATTTCAATTCCATAACAATATATTAATGAAATTAAGTCATTCACAATAGTAAAGAACATAAGAATTATCTATAAAAAGTTTAAAGCAATTACTCCCTTTGACAAATTTCGATAATGTAATAAGACGAAGATTATCAGAACTATGTGATATAGTAGCGCAATACACTTAGAACAATCTGATCACACATATACTTGTTATGAACATTTATATATAAAAATAAAGGCCAACTACACTGGAAATGGGGTAAGAGGAGACACCGATAATAATAATAATAATAATAATAATATTAATAATAATAATAATAATAATAATAATAATAAGAAGAAGAAGAAGAAGAAGAAGAAGAAGAAGAAGAAGAAGAAGAAGAGTGAACATAATCACTCTGGATAATAAGTCAATATTACCAGAGTAGGCTTAAGGTGAGAACTAACTGTTTTTGAATACACAAAGGGGGTTTCAATAAACCTTAGTATACGTCCTTTTTCACTTTTATACAATACCATAAAGGCCAAGTTAAGATCAATCTTATGGCCTGTTTCAATTATATGTTTAGCAATAGAGGATGATGGATGTTTATCCTCTGCTCTTATTGGGTCACTTGATTTTATCTGTTTCTGCAGTCTGATTATTAACTGAAATAAAATAAAACTCAACAGTTGTTAAGTTGGTATTACTTTACAATGAAAATCCATAATCGTGCCTCTATCTATATTCGACTAATTTGACATTTAACCTAGTATATTGATTAATGTATAATTTTATGAGATACCTAATAATTATATGAGTAATTGATTAGGTGTATTAATACCACAGTTTAATTCAATAATTTATTGTTTTAGTTATAAACAAATTGTTAGA